TCTTTCTTTCTTTCTTTCTTTCTTTCTTTCTTTCTTTCTTTCTTTCTTTCTTTCTTTCTTTCTTCCTCTCTTTCTTTCTCAATCGTGTATATTGGAATTATTCTTTTTTTTCTTTTCTATTTGTATATGATAGCAATAAAATAAAGAAATGATGGAAGGCCCCCACCCCAGTAGGAGGAAGAAGATAGGAGACAGCAAAATAATATTTTCATAATAAAATAATAGTCAATTTAAAACCTTAGAAAACCTTAGAATTGAAGCCTCAGAGAGAGAGAGAGAGAGAGAGAAAGAGAGAGAAACCAACTCTCTGGCTTTTTGCCAGAATTTACAGAGGGCTGCAGGAGGCCATCATGGCTGATAATGGGGTCCAGGAGGGCTGCGCATGCACCCAAACTCTATTTTTGCTGGCAAGGGTTGCAGGAGGCCATCGCAGCTGAAAATGGAACTTAGGAGCCCATTTTCACTGGCAAAGTGCTCGGGCCACCACAAGTGCCTCCGACATAAGTGATGTCAAGCTGGCCATGGCACACTCACCCAAGCCTCCCAAGGTCAAACACAATCCTGATGCGGCCCTCAATGAAATCAAGTTTGACACTCCTGTTCTAGGCTGACAGGATTAAAACAAAACACACAGAAACAAACTGGTTTTTCAGACCCAGTCCTTTTCAATAACAAAGATAAACAAAGGTTTTCCTCCTGAGCAAGGCTGAATAGGAAAATTATGCCATCAATAGGCACAGGATGAAAACCAACTTTCAAACTGAAAAGGTATAAAAACTCAATGCCTGGAAGTCCTTCTTTATAGCTAGTTGGGGGAAACCTTGCTGAATGTCACTCATTTTGGTCCTCCATCATTAAAGGTCTTCTTTCTGGCAGCTTGTTTCTTCATTCAATTTGTTCTTTGAAGTGCTGATCACAACACCCCAGTTGGAAGAGCCCATCTGGGGAATGTTTCTTCCCACAGAAGCATGAAAAATGTCTAAATATTGTGTAAGTCAGGGCTGTCAAAACCCCGGCCTGTGGGCCAGATGCGTCACATGCTGGCCATGCCCATGCCTGGTTTAGCGATGGGGGGAAAGTCCCAATACGTCACATGATGCCACCGTGATATGAGTTTGACACCCTTGGTGTAAGTGAAGCCGCTAGCTGAAGTGCTTCAAAGGTTGGCATTGTAGAATAGATCAGTGTTTCTCAATCTCAGCAATTTTAAAATGTATGTACTACAACTCTCAGAATTTCCCAATGAGCATTCTGGCTGGGAAATTCTGGGAGTTGAAGTCCATACTTCTTAAATTTTCTGAGGTTGAGAAACACTCTTCTAGATAATTTTCCATTGCTATGAAGGGCTTTAGAAGAGGTTACCAGTACCTTGAATTGCACCCAGAAGCCGATTGGCAACCAGTGCAGCTCACAGAGTAATGGTGTTACATAAGGATATGAAGATATACCCAGAAATGTCTGTGCCACTGGATTAGCTACAGTTTCTGAGAATTCATGTAGAGCACATTGTAGTAGTCTATCTATGAGATAACTAGGGCATGAGTTACTATCTGGAACAGGGGTCGCCAACCTTTTGGACCTCAGGGACCACCAAACTCATAATTTTAAATCCCAGGGACCTCTAATATGAATTTTGACTGACTGTGGCTTGCTGACGTTGGTGGGAGAGAGAAAGAGAGAGAGAGATCTGATCTAACCTCTCTCTCTTTCCTTCCCTCACTCCCTCCCTCCCTCTCTCTCTCTTTCTCTCTCTCACACACACACAAAGGCAGGGGTCGGATTCAAATTTCTTAACAACCGGTTCTGTGGGCATGGCCTAATTTGTGGGTGTGGTTTGGTCACCATGTGACTGGCTGGACATGGCTTGTATGTAAATATTTCTATAAATACTGATTTTTTTTAATAAAAAAGAGCAAGTTTTACCCAAAATCAGGCAAATTGAGTTGCTCACAGAATCACAGATTCATTCAGAGATCTGTGAGATCGGCTACCTGAGCCTGTCACATAAAATTTGCTTGCAAGAAAACCCATAAAATTTGCTAGCAAGAAAACTCACAAAATAAAATCACAACACACCATGTATGTAAATATTGAATTGAAAACTTTGATAAAATTAGGTATTGCTGATACACAACACCAATTAAATTGTCAAAATAGTATTAAAAATGTTCAACTTTTGTTGGAAATGTAATCAAACTGGGGGAATATTTTTTATATTTGGTGGACATGTAACAAAGCTAGAAAAATGGCAATCAAGTATGTATTTTGATACAGAAATTTTTTAAAAATGTATGAAACCATAAACTTTTTCTTTGGGTTTAATGGACATACAAATGGAAAAATTGTATGAAATTATTTTATAAAGGAAGGTGACATTATTCTTCTGTGTGATTTTTTAAATTTGTTTTCATCCAAAAAGATTTAACCTTGATTGTAATTCTCTTGGAAATTATCTAAATACATAGATGATGGTTAATGTAAACAAATTCCAGTTTAGTGTTATTGATTGTGAGGCATTTGCCATGAGAGCTCAGCAAATAAGGAAGTTGGATTTATAACACGTTTCCTTAAAGTTTATGAAGCAGTAAACAACTTCTCACTGAATGCCTCTTTAACTGGAATTGCCCACAAAATCTCAAGGCTAATTACTGTAGATACATTCAAGATCAAAATTAGAATTCTATATATGTTTCCCACATACATTCCTTTGAGTATATGGACAACTACTGTTCCACTTCCTTACACAGAATTTATTTTAGTTGCATTATTTACAACTAGGGTATGCATTCATATGTTTCTGAAAACCAGAGACTAAGATCTAAATAAGGGCATCTGCCAGGAGAAAGTTATAAAAAAACCTGACGTTGTGATTAAAGCTCTACTTCTTTTAACTTACATGCCATATACACATAAATACCTATTAGTACAGCTTTGACGTGGTATATAATAAACATTATATTATTGTTTTTCAGGGCTGTATTACTGACAGATGAAACTAACATATTGAAGTATTGAAGCATTGAAGTATAAAGATTCCTATATCTGCCACCTGTCTAGAGAGGAAAAAAATAAAAAGCAGTAAACACATATTTAGAATACTATATTACATGCAATCCATTCTTGTGTATTTTATGATGTCCATATGACATCAGTATACATTAGATATATATATATTAACTTATAATCCAAATAAACATAATATGGATACTAGTAAAAACTTCTTACATCTAGGTATGAGTCAAGTGGGAAGAAGGGGAAATAAACACAGAGAAACTTGTCTGAGTCTGAAAGAAAAAAGTATGGATGGAAAGTAAAAAAGAAAAATGTAGATTGAATGAAAAATAATTCACACAGAAAATTGCACTTTGAGTCTTATTTTAATGTAGAACTATTAATATTCTTATAGGATTAATGGAGCTATTGTGGTACAGTGGTTAGAATGCAGTATTGCTGGCTAATTCTGCAGACCGCTAAGTAGTTCAATCATTAGAAAGACATTTTCTTGGCCTTCCACAATTAACACTACTTCTATCAGTATAAGACTATAATCATTATCAATCTTCGTCAGATTACAAATTACATTTAAAACATCTCTATTTAATTTAATCAGTTTAAATAAATAATTTAACAAATAATTAAAATCAGTACTGTCTCAATAAAAATCACCCTCTGCAATAAAGAGGGTTTTCTCTTGTTTCTTAAAGAAAAAAAACTAGTCAAACCCAATTTTTTATTAATGAACCTATAAACAACAAGAAAACATCCCCAGAATTTTTTTAAACAAAAAATGACTAAAATAAACTGAACAAAAAGGGAGAAAAAAGGAAGGGGGGAAATCCACATATTAACATTAATCAATTAAATCTACATCCTATTGGAAAACAATTTCTAGACCATATAGAAACATAGCTCCGTCCACTTATTTTTAGTAGTAAACCACCTAGTGGCTTAGAATATAAACACATTTCAAAACTTGATAGCAAAACCCTGAATTGTTAACATAGAAAATAAGTTTATTTTTATTTACGTAACTATTATTTTCTTTGCTCAGCCGCAAATAAATTCCTTGTTTTAATAATATAATTCAACATAATACTTATATGTGGATGCTTGCAGGATATAGTGAGCCTAATAGAACCACTCTACCTACTCTGTCTGGTAAATAAATTCAAACAACAATTTGAATTACAGAACAACCAACAACATTTGGATCGTTTTTACTGGCACTTCTTCCTTATTGGTCTTTGGGGAAGTATTTTTAATGAATGCAATGTATTCGTTATTTTTTATTTGTAAGTACTGTATACAGGCATTTAATTTATTGATTTATATTATATCATCCAATTTATCTCAGCTTGCTCAACCTGCAGCTCAGGTGTTAAAACATTAAAGGGCATCTTTAAAAGGCCAGTTCTCCATTATTTTAATACTCTATTCCCGAATCAGACAAAGGACCTTTGAAATAGAGGGCAACATTACATAATACATTGCCAGTAGATGGACACCATTTTGCATGTTTGCCCAAAATTCTTTTCTAATGTAATCTTTCTTTGTGTTCCATCAAATCTTCTATTTGTATATTGAACTCAAATTCCTCCGTTTTGCTTTCATCTTCTTTGCACAAATAGGTAACCTTCTCTCTTTTCAGTTTTATTTGAACTGCCTACATATTTATTTTTTAATAATTTGAACATTCATTCTTTTTCTATTCCCTCAACCCCACTTTTAAGTGACTTCATTTTTGAAATTAATATCTTGGGGTATTGAGTTGGATTCTCAGGATTTGCACCTCTGTCTTTCAACCCCTCCCCATAAAAATATAAATTATTAGTTTAAGAACATTTTATTGGATGGATGAAAAGGAGGGTGGATGGGTGGATCAGACAGATAGATATAGACAGACAGTTTAGTTTGAAATTTTTATGTAATAGGGTTTTTACCCAAGGAAACCATGAAAGCTGGGGAGAGAGAGGTGGTTAGAAATATTTCAATAGTTCAATGTGAATAAAACCACTTTACATATTATTAGATAATTTTAGGCAAAGCATTAAATGTATCTTTAGTAAATGTTTTAGACCATTCTTTTCCTCTATTCCCCAAGGTTTGGTCCAATGAATCACTGTGAATGTTCACAAACTAGTAAATTGACCCTCTATCAACTGGAAAACTATATAGATAAAGATAAACTTGAATTCATAAGGCAAAGACGTGAGAAGGAATTCAAACATTATCAGACAAAGTAACCATCCAGTGTTGTAAATGAGACTCATATAATAGAACAGGCTCTCATGGGTCAGAATTTTCTTGATGAATTTTCTTTTTTTCCCCTAACATACAAAGGGTTCGAATATTTCAGTTAATCTTTGGAACAAGAATTTACAGCTGTGTTTCTGAAGATAGCGTGCCCATTGGATTTGTGTTTCCATCTGAAATAATCTGACCTGTGTAGCCATGACTTTGAATTGCAGAGTTTCCAGAATAATTGTACATATTATTTCAGAGTAGGAAAGTTGTAAAGAATTCTTTTTTAAAAAAAATGAGAAAGTTTTTATGAAGGAAATTCAAAAGCATAGAGTAACATTTTACTCAAATATTAGTTCATCATTGTTATTAAATTTAACAACACTTTCATATTGCTTCCCTTTAAAAAAAGATTCTGGTCTAAATATCTTTGGTTTTTTAATTGTCAATTAAATAATATAAGTATTCATGTTGAACTGGTTTGTTGTATGTTCATGTTTTGTATGTTAAGAGGACAGAATCTGGTGTTAGGAAAACCTGATCCCCAAACCGTGGAATTTTGGACCTCTTGTCTAACCTAGTTCAAGAGAAAATCCAAAACATCTAGTACATCTAAAACATTTGGATTTTCACAAAACAATATAGATATGAGTTCTAGTACAACTCCCTTTTTCATAACTGTTTATGCTGACTTTTAAAGAATCTTCTCTTTTTATTTACTTTGCCTTAGGCATCCATTTGAGAAAAAAGATATCCTTTAACCAAATATTCCTTTGAGCTATCCCATTCAAGGGGCTGAGGTGATACCCTTGCACACCATTGTACTTCCAGGTAAGTCAAGAACAAGATCTAAAGGAGAAAATTCAACCCTGAGCTAAGTTTACTGCCCAAAGGTTTTAGCTGGCTGTGAAAGGCAAACATTTCTACTTTGCTGGCTGGAGTTACTTTTCCCTCCAGAGATAAATGATTATTGAAAGACTGGATGATCTGTATTTACCATCCACTATTTGACTTTACAAGAGAAAGTAGATGTGATGGTGTATAAAAATGAGACTGAAAAACTAACTGAAAAAGTAAAACTAGAAAATATGATCTTCTGTGACTGAAATCTCAAAAGGCTGCATTGACCGCCCAGTCTCTCTCGTCTTACAGATTACACTTGTTAGCAAAATGAATCCTGTGAAATAGGGACTCTTGGTTGTTTCAAGATGTTTTTGATTGAGACCATAAGTTGCTCCCACCTTGAAAGTATGTAGCAATCAGGACAATCTGGAACACATTATGGTGTCACCTACCAGCTCTTTCCACTGGTGAGGCTCCCAAAAGTTCCAGTGGTCAACGGTATCAGTCAAAGTGTACTAAAAGCAAAACACATTATTTGGCTTTTTATTTATCATTGAAATAAAAGAGTTTTTCTTTTTTTTTCTTTTTAAGGGCTAGGTTTCCATGGAACAAGTAGAGAAACTTTAAAGGTAACGTAGCTTTCTCAGGTTTTGGAACATGCAGTGTCATTCTAGACTTCCAGAAAAGAGAGTTTTTGCTTTATGCATGCATGTGAGTCAGTGTTGCCTCCTAGCTTGTGACTCTGCAGTTTTCTTGGCAAGATTTTCGAAGTGGTTTGCCATTGCTTCTTCGTGGGGCTGAAAGAGACTGGCCCAAGATCGCCCCCTGTCTTTGTGCCTAAGATGTTTTGTGTAATATTTGAAATAATTGAATAATACATCTTACTTCAAATGCATTTTATCATTTTCGTTTCAATGGTACTGCCCTCAGTAGAGCATCCCAGATCTGTAGCATGTCTTTTACCTTTGCCCCAGGTTTTGCTGTACTCTCTGATAGTTTACTTGACACAAACTGGTTGTCTAATGGCCTAGAGCAGCTGGTTTGGTCTTTCCTCTATGGCAGTTCACGAGTAAGAAATATTTTGAGAATGATGGTATGTTTGTAAAATAAAAGGCTTTGAAATCCCTTCTGTTCCTCCCAGTTATGAATAGTGGGTTATAAAAACCACATTCCACAACCTAAGCATCCAATAGATGTAGAATTCAATTCTTAGAATTCCCAGCTAGCACAGCAATTGGTGAGGTTTGTTGGAGTTTATCTAAATGTCTGAAAGGCTAGAGGGTAGAGAAAGCTGATGCAAGTGCTCTCCATCTGTGAAAACAAATTTCCAGGAACAGGAGAAGACAGCTATGTCTCTGGAAGCATAGATGCACAAGATCTAGGCCCCTTTGTGAGATTTGTGAAACAATGGCTAGTGTCAGGCTCCCCTATTAGGACTAGGCAGTAAATCATAGATCTCTGAACCCCTAATGACAACTCAATACCTACCTTGGCTAGATTCAGCATAAAACTTGTAAATATAGCTCAGGATGGAAAATAATTTTCATTGCAGACAAGAATGCAATCACACAAAACAAACGTCCACTGCCTATGAGAGGGTGCAAATGACTAGTAATACAAATACTGTAGTTCTCTGTTAATTTCAGTAACGGGGTCTGGAATTTCTATCACTAAGTGATGTGATTATTAAAAATGTCATGTGATCGTGCCACAGTTCTGTCACAGCCTTTGTAGACATTATGGGAGGGAAGCTACGATGGCAAGAAATCAGTGGGAGTCTGTAGCATTGTTTTCCCCCAACTTACAAATTTTATTAAATAGTGTAAGCATTTATGAGTGGTAACTCAGTTTATTTGATGCACTCTATGCATCTGATCACTGGTGTGGCAAGAAATACCATCATGGGACAGAGTTGCTGTTTTTTTCCAGAAAGTATCATTAAAAACAATGCCTTTGGGACTCTGGGGAAAAGAATCACTTATAAAGGGGACTACTCAATACTGTGACAATGTAAAGGCCCTTGTCCATTTTATATCTGAATGTTAGAAGAATGGATAAGCATATATGATCACTATATGAAACTATTTGAAATTTCCTCTTCCCGGTTTGCATATGGCTTGTTGGGTTTTAGCATTTTTGAAGTTTCCATATATCTGTTCTTCAGCAAAAAAATGAAACTGAAAAAAAAGAAAAGCCAACAGAGGCTTTTCTCAATGGGCATGACAATTTCCTAGATCTGGTTAAAAGTATTTTTACTGTGAGTGTATTAAAGATGACTAAAGTTTATGTATATATGTAAATTTGTATTATTCTTTATGTGTGTCATTTGTTGATGTAAGATAAGCAGGTGTATCGGGATGTATGCACCATGTTCACTGTTTTTAAATGTTTTTCCTTTTTGTTTGATTAATAAAAATTAAAAAAAAATAACCAAAGGAAATTAACTGCCATTTTTCAAGGTCAGATTTCAGGCTCATAAATATTGACAAATGTTTTGGTTGATGTGATGTAGCTGGAAAATGAAATTTTAATTGCTCCTAATATTACAATCATTGCAGGTTCTTCTACAGGCATCCTTTGGTAATCTGAATACCCTTGCTGATGTTTCTGAAGAAGTGGTCCAAGGATGTGCTGATCATCACTAATTCCTATGTGAAGCTTTTGAATCACATACTGAAACATGTTACATACACTAGTACAACATACTGACTAGATATAGTGGATATGAGTAAGTAAGAATATGTCCTACTAGACAAGCCCTTCACTGGGACTTCACTTTTGGATTTCACCTTTGACTTGACTTGCACTAGACTTGGAAAAAAAAAACCATTAGAAAGCCACATTATTTTGGAAATTTCAAAAATTATTGTTTTACCGTCCCCAATTTGAAGCCTTGGGAGAAAACATGTTTTAAAAACTGAGAAGACAAACAGCATTCTTTTTCAGAAAGGACATTTGCAACTGAGGAGTAGAGCTGAAACCTGAAATCAAGACAACGTTGATTGCTTTTGCAATTATACCCATCTTTTAATTTAAAAACATTCCAGGTTCAGTTCCAGTCATTTCTTAAATGAGTCAGTTCATCAGTCAGCATGGATGTTCCTCTGGCTTTATTTAAAGCACCTTTCTTTAAAAGTACATAGTTTTATAGCCCTACACCTGTACATACAGTATGTCCATAGTTTTATGGACTTATTCATTGTTTGACATAAAACAGCCTAACTAGGTGAGGATTTGGCGGGTCCCTACCAAATATACTGTACATAACTATTTTTCCTTTGAGCAGTCCTTCTTGTTCTAAGGCAGCATCTCCCCTTTTATATGTTTATTCTCAGTTTTCTGGTCTGATAACACTTTAAAGTGCTATGTCCCATTTTGTTGTAGACAATATCTTATTTTGACTATTTTGAGGCCTATCATATAAATGTGTTAACTTAAGGGCAAGATGAATTCCTACAATAAATAAAACTTTTAAGCCATACAAAGGAGATTGAAGAATCTGCTCTACAACTGAGTGGAAAGCACAAAGAATAAAAGAAGAAAATTGGTCTAAATTGCTTGGGTGAAATATAAAGCACTGCCCTTTATTGCACCTTTAGTTGTTTATTGTAGACCTTCATCATGTATCCTTCCTCTAATGAAATCTAATCAAAGCACTAGGTGATCACCAATCTTTCTCTATGTCATCCCCAAGGGATGGGACAGTATGGCTTGTGCCATTTCTGTTTTTTAAGCACCACAGGAAGCCCATTTTGTTTGTTTGTTTGTATGTATGTATATGCATATGAGTGAGGCAGATTAATGTTGCATTGCTTTCATTGGTTATGCTGAGGTGTATGAAAAATAGAATATGAAGTTAGGTAGGGAAGTTTGTTGCTTCCGGACTGTTGAATAACTCCTATCAGCTCTAATGACGACTGTCAATATTGGAAGATAAGGGAGTGGTTCTCCTTATTTGTAACATATGGAGTGCGAGCGAGAGATATTGCCAAACGTAGCCATAAAATTGACAACCAGCTAACTACCTTTCTTTTATTTCCTAGTGAACTTTACAGATGGAACTTACTTTGTTAGATTTCCTGCGACCGTTCGACAACTGCACCTTCCTAAGCTATTTGACTCAGGGCCAGGTAAGTTACATATCTGCAACTAGCAAACCTGAGGGACCACTTTTTCCCCAGAGTTTCTGCCTGTCCAACTAGATCGAATAGTTGCTTGAATGCTGCAGATCTTATCAGCTAAAGAATGTCAAATGATGGGGCCCCTTGCTCTGTGGAACATCTTCCCTTCCACAAAAGTTTAAAAACCTGGCTATGCTCCCAAGTTTAGGGCATTACATGCACCAAGGGCCCCACTTCTTGGCTACATGGTTAGTAGGCCAGATGTCTTACTTTGAATGTGTTCAAATTAGATGTTGTAATGTTTTTTTTTAAATTATTTTAATGGTTTTTTTACTGTTTTTATTGTGTTAAAATGTTTTTAAGATTTTAATTGTAATATAAAAAGCCACCCAGGTTCATTTGCTGAGATCGGCAGCTAAATGAATAAATAAAATAAAATAAATAATTAATTAGATTCATAATTTGCTTTCTTGTGGAAGTCTTAATCAAGAAGGCAAAATAAATACATAATAGATGAACTTTATTTCCATTTATTGCAGGGGATAAAAATAAGGATATATTTTACTCACAAATTATGACTCTTAATTCTAACTCTATAACACGTCTCACTTCTTATTTCGTTGTATCTCACAGCTTATTTCACTACCATACTCCTTATCATTTATCGCTCTGGTTTTATTCTTGTATACTTTTACATTTTCGCTTTTCCCCATGCAGAGAGCTCTTGATGTCCATACTTGCTGGCAGTTAATGGGCTTTAGTGATTCTTGGTCACTTTCTAATTAGTTATAGAAAGACCATAGTTCTGGCTGCTGCCCCAGTCCCAAACTCATGTGGCTATTCCTAATCCCACTAATATGGCTGATGGGTCTACTTTTTCCAATGGAGAGCTGCTGGGCCTCTATTTCTTTTACCTCTCCCCCAAAAAAAAGTTGATGAGAGAAGAAGTGATTTGCACTGGTCACAATGAAGTTCTCCTTCCATAGTCTTTTTGTCCAAGTTGGGGATTTCTCACTTGATATCAGCTAACAGTTCACAAAAATAAAACAAGTTATAGCATATTAGTCAATATTAAGCCAAAGTTTTTGGTTCAAAAAGGGAATTCTAGCTTTACAGAAAAGTCTTGAATTGTGTCATGAAGTTATCCATAGGTGTGACTAGATGTCTTCCCTTTTACTTTCTCTACTTTCTGTTTCAGATAACAGCATTAGAAACATGGTAACCATCACAATAAAAGCATTTGTACGCTACCACAAGCTGCGGATTCTCCTGAAAAGCATAAAACAATACTATCCGGATACAACAGTAATTGTGGCAGATGACAGTGAACACCCAGAGAAGATTGAAGAAGCAAATGTTCAGCATTATATTATGCCTTTTGGAAAGGTACTATATGTCTATGTGGGGCTTCTTCTTTTAGGATTTCCCGAAAGGGTTTTTTCACAAAGTAATAACAGCTGGGTCTTCTCATAATTAGGTTGCAGAAAGCAGCTTGATGGCCCATGGTACAAGCTGAACTTTATGCCTATCAATTATAAATTAAATAAATACGATAGTATTCAGTCAACCAAGCAGGGCAAGAGTTCAAGAGAAGGAAGCAGAGAATTTAATAAATTGGGAAGTTAATCTGTTTCCTTATTATTAGGTATCTCCTAATAACTTTGTTTCATACTTTTAACTTCCTCTTTTGTTTTCTCTTATATTTTCAACTGGCTCTGAATTAATTCCTAATCTGCATTTTCTGACCCTCTTTTGGATTTTTAATCAGGGCTAGTTTGCAGGGAAGAACCTTGCAATTTCACAGGTCACAACCAAGTATTATCTTTGGGTGGATGATGACTTCACCTTCACTGAAAAAACAAAGATCAAGAAATTTGTGGATGTGTTAGAGAAGAACAACTTGGATGTGGTAGGATATTCATATCATTGCCTCTCTTCTCTTCTCGTTCATTCTGTTGGTGCCATACATGGAGATTTTCATACTTTGTCTATTCCAGGGAATGACAACATGTGGTAGACAAGATTAAAGATTTTGCCAATTTCATTGAAATATCCCCTGCTAAAATTGCAAGGGACCCCAGAGTTTGCCTAGAAAAGCACTTCTATTCTTTGCATCTTTAAAAATGTATACACCAACAAGGAATGATATGCAATGATAGCAAGACTGAATAGTCTAAAACAAATTTATATGGTTTACAGGTTGGAGGCAGTGTGGATGGAAATGAATATAAGTTTAAGATGTTCTGTCAGGAAGGAGAAGATAGCAGCTGTTTGTACCTCAGAAGTGGCTTCTACTATCCCTTGGAAGGCTTTCCCAACTGTGTGGGGACTAGTGGTGTAACCAATTTCTTCCTGGCTCATACAGAGGAAAGCAGACGTGTTGGATTTGATCCTAAACTACAGAGGGTGGCTCATTTAGGTAAGCCCAAATTCTTCTCCTCTGTTTAATTATATTAGGGCTGAAATCCTTTTCAGAAGCAGATAAATCATACTGCATTCTGGGTTAGTTTGCATACCTTGCTCACAGAAAGCTCAAACTACAATATTCCAGAGCTACACACCCATCAAAACTGATTCAGAAGGAATGGTTCAGAGTTCACACAAGCACAATATATTTCAGATGTTCATTAAAGTAGCCCATTTGTTCCAGGTTTCTCCTCCTGAGAAAGAGATGCTGCTGCTTTAGAGAATTTCATTAATTTTAATGAATTTACTCTTTATAGTTTGTAATGGCAGCAGGAAGATGATTGGTTCATGTGAGGTTCATTCATAGCATTACTTCCAAATAATTTCCTAAGTCTATACCATCCTCCAGATTTCATTCCTATCTTATTCAGGTCAGGGAGAAAATTCTAATTTAGTTTTTATATCTTTTAAATTATAATCTTTTGACAATACTTGTGAGTAAGCTCTAATTCATATATTTAAAAATCTATTAACGAATATTATTAGAACAAATGCTTATTTTTTATGATATACATCAGTTAGTCACTTGTTGAGGTGAGTGGCTATAGAAATCAACGAGAGGGATATGCAAATTTTTACTTCTCACCCTCAGGACTTTTCAAATATTATTCTGAAGTTTTGACTCTTTTGTTATGAGCAGATTTTGATCCCCAACAATTCTACAAAATGAGTTTCTGAGAAAAAGTTATGTATCAATAGTTCTTTAATACTTATATTTATTTTTAAAACAACTGTGTGGTGAGGCTGCCACACAGAATTTACTGATACAGTTATCTTTGATTCCATGAAAAAAAAGCTTTGTATTTATATAGAAAGAATCTATAAATCTACATAAAGAGATCACGCTAGCCCTGCTCTCATACTACTGAGAAGGGATGTCTGTAGCAGAATTGACTCTGGAGTAGGAACTCCCTGTAGTGGACAATCCCTGTGCAATTGTGGTTGAAAATAAGTATTCATGAAAAAATAGCTTTTCCCTTTCTAGCATTTGTTTTCATCCCATAGGTCTTCTGGGTGGATTCCACTTTCTTCTAAACACCTCCCCTGTGTGAGGAAGACAAACATGAATACAATTCTTGCAGGCTATTTTTTTTTAAATGCTTTGTATAATTAACATGGGTGCCTCTCTCCATTTCTCTCTTTCCATAATTTTTTATGGATGGGCTTGGAAGCTTGCAAGTTGGCTCCTGCAATGATGTTATCATTGGTCACCAGTCACACCAAATTTCCACCAACATACTAAGAAGCTAATGTTGAAAAATTGTATGATAGATTTCGGAATAGCTTTCAGAAAGAGCGTTGGGCTTACCTAAAACGCATCTTCCAGTTGTACGGGAGGAGAATCCAAAGCGTGGGCTGTCTCCTGCTTCCTTGCTTAAAGACGGAGTCAATCAAAGTTTAGTCCAGCCCCTTTTCCACTGCGCATGCCCAGTTTTTGATGAAGGCTGATGATTGACTTGGAGAGTTCTTTGGTGCTCGTTCTTGACTGTTCTGAGCTCGAGACTATCTAAGGGTGGGATTTGGATTCTTCTCCCGTGCAACTAGAAGATGCATTTCAGGTAAGCCCAACGCTCTTTCTCAGTTGTACGGGTCGGAGAATCCAAAGCGTGGGACGTACCCAAGCTAATTGACCTGAGGATGGGCCAACTCCTTGTCCTGAGCCCCCATCTCCATGTGAACTCTTTGTAGCACTCATCTTCCAAAGGATGCTTCTGCTGATGCAAATGTATCCTGTTTATAATTTCTGATGAATGGAGATGGTGATGACCATGTTGCTGCCCTACAGATCTCTTCAATCGAGGCCTGTGTGTTCCATGCCGCTGATGTGGCTGCACTCCTGGTTGAATGTGCCGTTATGTTACCCGGCAATTGCAATGATTGGCTTTCATAAGCTTTTGTGATACATGTCTTGATCCATCTGCCTATGGTAGACGGTGAAACCTTTTGTCCCAACGAACTCTGTCTAAATGAAACGAACAATGCTTCTGTTTTTCTAATGGGCCTTGTTCTCTTAATATAAATGCGTATAGCTCTCCTAACATCCAAGGAGTGCCACTTCCTTTCTAGGCTATGGACTGGTTCCGGGCAGAAGTCTGGTAGTACTAACTCTTGTGCTCTATGGAAGGTAGAATTGATCTTTGGGATAAAGGTCGGGTCTAATCTTAATACTACACTATTCGGGTGAACTATACAGAGGTAATGCTGCCAACTCTGAAATTCTTCTGGCTGATGTAATGGCTATTAGGAAGGCCACCTTAAGGGTGAGTGAAGGTAGTCCTACTGACCTCAGCGTCTCAAAGGGCTCAGTCATGAGCACCCTTAGCACCCTTGTCAAGTTCCAAGTAGAGTACCTGTGTATCACTGGTGGCTTTAGATTAGTTGCTCCCCTGATGAACGTGCGGATTAGGGGGTATCGTGAGAGGGACTCTGAGGTCCCGCAACCCAACACTGAGGCTATCGCTGCTACCTGCCTCCGTAAGGTGTTAGGGGTTAAACCCTTCTCCAGGCCTTCCTGGAGAAAATCCAGCACTTGAGTAACTAACACTATGGTTGGATCTATTTGTTTCTTGGAACACCAGGTTCCAAATGCTCTCCAAGTAGCATCATCAATTCTGTTGGTTGATGGTCTCCTGGATGCCTGGAGTGTCTGTGTTACCTTGTCTGAGCACTCTAAACGCTTTAGCGTGGTCCTCTCAAGTGCCATATGGTTAGTTGCAGCCATTGTGGCTCTGGGTGTCGTATGGCTCCCTGACTCAGTTCTACCTTGTCTGGGGGAATTCTCCATGGTCTGGATACCGACAGTTGTACCAGATCTGTGTACCAAGACCTCCTGGGCCAGTGAGGTGCTGCCATTAAGACCTCCCTTCTATCACTTTCTTGATTACCCTTGGTATCAAGGGAAGTGGGGGGAATGCGTAGAGCAAACCCCTTGGCCATGCTTCTTGGAGCGCATTGATTCCTTCCGCTCTCTGTGTTGGGAATCTCAAGTAGAATCTCGGGAGTTGTGCATTTGCTGGCGTCGCAAACAGGTTTAGGACTGCTCTCCTGAATCTGTGCAACAGTTCCCTGAACAGGTCCAGGTGTAGGCACCACTCTGAGTGGTTGACCATTGTTCTGCTGATCCAATCTGCCTGAACATTTTACACTCCTGATATGTGTTCCGCCCTGATTGATAGAAGGTGCGTCTCTGCCCAGCGGCCCAATCGCTCTGCTTCTTGCATGAGCGCTAGGGAGTGAGTATCCCCCTGCCTGTTGATATGAGCCTTGGCGGTCACGTCTGTCAGGATCAACACATGCTGTCCCACTATCACTGACCTGAAGGCCCTTAGAGCCAGATGAGATGCCCTGAGCTCCAACCAGTTGATGTTGTTCTTGAGGTCTGACTGAGACCACTGACCCTGTGTAATCTGGCTCTGACAGTGGACTCCCCAGCCTACTAAACTTGCATCTGTTGTGATAGTCAGTCAGGTGGGTTCCTTGAACCCATATCTCCTCATCACTGTGGGTGATCTCCACCACTGGAGTGACTGCATCACTCGGGGGGGGGGGGGGGGCTTGTCCCTTGGTTCTTGTTTTGCCCTTGCCTGCTCTCTGGTAAGGTAATACGAACTACTGCAATGTCCTTGCGTGCAGCCTGGCCCAAGGTACTATCAAGATGCACAATATTATCTTCCTTAGTATTTGTGACAGCAAGTCCAGGGATACCCCCGGAGCTGTGCTCACTTGATTTATTGATGACCTTATGCTGACCTGCCTTTCCTGTGACAGGTAAACCTTGCAGGAGTTGGTGTCTATTACAGCTCCTAAGTGTTGTAATCACCTGGTCGGTTCTAAGTGGCTCTTTTCGAAATTCACCGAAAAGCCATGCTCTTGTAATGTCTGTATCGTGGTTTCTAGATTACTCTGTGCTCTTAAGGGTCGATGTTGACTGTATTAATATGTCGTCTAAGTAGCATTGGACCCATATGGGTTTTGTCCTGAGGAAGGCTGCTACTGCTGTCAGGACCTTGGTGAAAGTCCTCGGTGCTGAGGACAGGCCGAATGGTAGAGCCCCGTACTGGTAGTGTCTCCCTGCGTAACAAAAACGCAGGAACTTCCGATGCCTCCTGGTAATAGGTATGTGTAGGTAAGCATCTGTGAGGTCTACTGATGTCAGGACATCCCTCTCCCATATGCTCCCTAGTATAACTTGCAGGGACTGCATCTTGAATCTCCTGTATACTATGTGCCTGTTTAGTACTTTGAGATCCAAAATTGGTCTCCACCCCTCCGATGCCTTTTGCACAACAAACAGGTTTGAATAGAACCCTTGTCCCTGTTCATTCTCTGGTACCACTTGTACCACCCGAATGTCCAGCAGATGTTGAACTGCTGTTTCCATAATTACCCTTTTGGTTCTGACCCTTGGCGTCGGGCATCTTCTGAATGACCTCGGGGGTATGGAGATGAATTCCAGAACCAGGCCTTTTCTTAATGTGTCTAGGACCCACTTGTCCATTGTAGTCAACACCCATCGGTCGGTGAATAGGCCCAGCCTCCTGCCAATGGGTGCATTGTTCCGGCTATCACTTTGTATGCCAGAGGCCCTGCTGGTCGAACTCTGGAAGGGACGCCTTCCCTGGGACCGTTGTCCACCCCATCTCTAAATCCTGACCTATCTGGATGTCTAGTAGGGGTCTGTGTGTGTACTGTCTCTGTGTGTATAGGGAGTGGCTGAAGACACCCCTGAGATAGGAAAGGGCTGTTGCTGTGTATATGGAGAAGGTTGCCTATCTGCCTGACCAAGTTTCCTGGGTAAGACCTTCTTCTTGTCCTTGGTTTCAATCAGTAATGGCTCAATGGCCTCCCCGAAAAGTTTGTCCCCTTTAACTGGAGCTGATGCCAGTTTCCATTTATGTTTCAGATCTGCCTGCCAGTGGCGGAGCCAAACAAGTCGTCTTGTAGCTACTGAAGCTGCAATGGCCTTAGTTGCATACTTGGCCCCATTAAGTGTGGCATCTGCTATGAACTCTGTTGCAGCAGTTATTTTGTTCAAACCCTGTTGCAATCGAAGATCGCCAGGTGGCATCCTTTCCTGCATCTGTTCAATCCATATCAGGACTGCTCTGCTGAAAAATGATGCCATGGATGTTGCCTTTACCGCCCATGCCGCAGCCTGGTGAACTTTTTGTAGGGTCTGTTCTGTTTTCTTATCCTCCCCTTTTAGACCATCCTCAGCTTCGTTAGCCAACACTGTAGCAGACGTGGAGGCTGCCACAAGGCTGTCTATCATGGGAACTGGGAATAGGTCCGCTAATTCTGCATTATAAAATTTCCTCTCATTCCCCCCTGGCATTGGAAAAATAACTGGTCTGTCCAACTGACCTTCCACCACTTCCCTGAACAATTCAGGTGAAGGTATGGATTCACTTTCAACCTTGGTTCTGGCAAAAAAATCTATCTTTGGGATCAGATGGTTCTAACTCAGACCCTTCTGTCCCTGTGATTCTCCCCAGGCCTGTTGCTATCTGAGCCTTCCCCAGCAGCATCTTAATCAGCTGGTGACGAAATAGACCTGTGAACATTGGAATTTCTGGTTCATTAGTTTCTTCATCTGAGAAAGCTACTCCCTATATTCTTCCTCTCTTGAAACAGAGGCCTCACTGTGAGTGTCTGATCTACTGGAACTGTCTCCCTAGAAGCCCAGTTCCTCCTGATGAGCCTCCCGTCTCCTCTCATTATGTCTCAGGCTGGGTCTGTTACCCTGACTGTCCCTGAATTCTGCCATCATCTCTTTCATCATAGCCCTCATTTCCTCTTTAAAGGACTGTTCCCTGACTTCCGATGCTGTGGAGGAAGAACTAGACTCAGTTGAAAATCTCTTTCTCTTGGGGGAGGGCTCTTCATTGCATGCCTGAAAGCATTGTCTTTCTGAGTCACTCAATCCTTCATTCACACAAAGAGCAGGCTGAAAAGGCTGATCTTCAGTGCCCTCTAGTGTTGCACTCTTTTCCTGACACTTCGCTTTCATTGGTTTGCCTGTTGGAGCATGGGAATTTCCATTCTTCTCCGCCTCCTTTCCCGCCCTTGGGAAGCATTTCTCAATGGCCCTTTGTCTCCTTAATGCCTCCCTCTCCTCTGCCTGACACCCTGCTGAAGCTCTTTCTGAAGCTCTCCCAGCCTCTCTGGGTTCCTTTGTGCTTTGCTCTCTGTTCAAACTGGGGGCAGGGGATTCCTGTTCCTCCAGGCTTGCCTCTGTTTCAGAAAATTCGGCCATGGTCTTTCCCTTTGGCTTTTGCCGATAGAGTATACTCAGACCGGTCTGAACATGGCCTCCCTTTCTCCTGGGTAGGCTTGTGTGGCTGTGATGGAAGCTTGCTCAGCCTAAGACTAAGTTTGCCTCCAATTAAAGAGAGCGCTGGAGGCTTGTGCAGCTTCTGGTTTGTTTAACGAAGGCTCTAGGAAAGCTGAGTTAATTTGCTCTCCTTTGCTAGTCGATCGAGAGCCTGCCCGCTCTTACTGAGGCTGCTGCCGCTTATTCTCTTAACACCAAACAGCTATGTGGGCTTTCCCGTCTTGGGATGAGGTCCCGGCTCTTTCGCTTACTCACGGTTTGCTGACTTTCACTCTCTCTTTTTCTCTCTTTTTTTCTCGAAGAATCCAAAGCGTTGATCCTATATTTTCTATCTTTCTTTCTGAGCACTCTCTCCTCGTGTCCTCTTTGCATGAAGACGGAGTCAAAAACTGGGCATGCGCAGTGGAAAGGGGGCTGGACTAAACTTTGATTGACTCCGTCTTTAAGCAGGGAAGCAGGAGACAGCCCACACTTCGGATTCTCTGACCCGTACAACTGAGAAAGAACTTAGGTTTAAACTGCCCTTACATTACTTTAAGAACAGAATGAAATGCTATTCAAAGGGCAGATTGATTCTTCCAAGTCTGAATAGTTTTGGAATGAATTCAGCAACTTTTAATTATTTTGTTTTAGGAGCTGTACTTTTCCTCTTTGACAACTCAATGTTTTACAGACTTCATTAAAAAATGATGGTTTTTACTGTCCTTTCTGAATCTTCTCTACTGTGGAAGTTCTAATAGAAGAATTCTTTCTTCCAGCTCTTTATATATTTAACAATAAATATGCACTGGATTAAGTTCCATCAGGTTTGCTGCTCTTGTACCTATACAATTATTTTAGGGGAAAGTTGATCAAAAAGCAACGGGTGGAAAATATTTCCCCTCCCCTTCCTTCAATGAGGTCAAGTTAGGATATGCTTCTTATTCCTAGATAAGTTGTACAACTAATGAGAATATTTGTTTGCCATCTTTTGCTCTGCGGTTTCTCCTTCATTTGATTTTTTTTATTAATTTTTGCCAATCTCCCTACAAGGATTTTTCATAGGCATTCTTCAAAAACCACAATGCTTATTCTAAACTAACAATAGTCTTGTTGCAGCCTAAAAGATGTTCACATGGAGTGTGGCAAAGGTCTGTCAATGTGTCAAATTCAGAATAACCCAGGGGTGGGATTCTACCAGTTCGCTCCTATTTGCTAGAACTGGTTAACATTCTAAGCAGTTCAGAGAACCGGTTGTTAGAAGAAATTACTGGCCTAATCCTGTAAGGAAGGCAGGAAGGAAACGTTCTGGTGTTGCTTACAGAAACTGCCTCTCCATTAACCCTTATTACATTCTTGGCAGGACTAGACTTCCTGTCTCAGGAACCTCTCTGGAGTTTTCTTTCCCTCTTTTGCTGGTACTTTGCTTGTATGGAGTGACCATTCAGAGTTAAAATGGCACTGAAAAACGTGACTTATGACCATTTTTCAAACTTACAAGCAGCATCCCCAGTCATGAGAGGCCAGGCGAGGAGATGCATGCCTCGATGTGAGTGATGTTGAGTTGGCCACGCCCAGTCAATAACATGACCACCAAGCCACATCCACCCAGTCACATGACCACTGAGCCACACCCACCAACTAAGCCACATCCAGAAAACTAGTTGTTAAAAAATTTGAATCCCACTCCTGGAATAACCTGAATAAAGTGTGATAACTAGTGATTTCCTTAACTATGGAAAGAAAGGTTGAAAAATGGGACAAAACTCACTTAACTATCTTGTTTAACAATGGAAATTTTGGGCTCAATTGTGGTCGTAAGTCGAGGACTACTTGTACTGTTCCCATTGCTATGTGCTATGTTGCTCCACTGTAAACAATATAAATCTACAATCCTTCTATCTGTACGTTCTTCTACAATCCTTCTATCTGTACGTTCTTTGCATTCTTTCCTGATTTACAAGCCCAATTACACTGGGGAAGGATTCTGTGTGTGGGTATGTGTGTCTGTATGGTCTATAAATTTTATACCAATTGCAATTTTGTTTTTGTTGTTGTTAAAGAAAAGATCTTACCCAATAACCTATCTAGAAATTATAGGATAGATTTGGATCCTAGAAATTTTACAGCCTTTGCAAAACAAATCTCAGAGTTGGTAAGATTGAAGAGCCAAAAACTACAAAGCAAGAGATCTCTGTTCTGAATTTCCTTTTCAGTCATCTTCATGGTATCCTTCAGCAAGCCACTCGTCTCTTACTTTCAGTTTCGCTATACCATTCACTTGCAACATGGATTTAATAATACTTAATTACCTAAATAAAATGTGGAAATAATTACTCATGGAAAACAGAGCAAATGGATTTTTTTCCTCCTTTTTATTTAAAAAAATGAAACAGTGGAGTAAAGCAGTTTGTGGCAGTAAACAAGCTGGAAGAAAAATGGAGCCAGTGTCCATCTGTAATCACAACTTTGGATCTGAGCCAACTAATCTGCCTCATGCAAAAGACAAGGGGTCAAAGAACAGAGATTTTTAAAAAAAAGGAAAATTAAGCAGAGAAAGTGTTTAAAAAAAATACAGCAGATCAAAGAGAGGAAAATAATTACTCAAGAGTACAATTTTCAAGGCCTGAATTCATAACAGTTTCGATGGCTTAGAACATAAGGTCTGACACATTTCACAAAATTATTACATGGAGCAAAATTTCCTTTCCAAATTCACACAAGTTATTTGTTTTTACATAAAAATGATTAGTCTAATACATTTGTAGCAACTGATTATTCTAACAGAAGATCCAAAAGCATTATTTCTCAATCTCAGCCACTTTAAGATGCCACAGGTCTGGGGAATTCTGGGAGTTAAAAGTTCATGCTTCTTAAACTGACTGAAATTGAGAAACATTGACATAGAGTAACAAAATAATTTTACATCAATGGAAGATGTGAGATTTTTTTTCCTCATTAGCCACAAATTTGTTTTAAAAGATTACAGAAATTCATGGAAACAACCAGGCATCAAGGAAATTCTACTGAACCTCCATCTTTGAGGCAGTGAACCAGATGATGACAGCGAGCAATAAGGATTGGCAAATTACCGACACAATTTGCTGAGCTACCAGTTTCTCTTGTCACTTGAAACAAAATGTTAGTTTAGATTAATAGTAGCCTCGGTCACTTATTCAATAAAACAGCCCTTTATGATTCCTTCTACTGTGTTCATTAATTTGATAAACTGCCAATAAAACAACTTTTTAAAAAAATGCAACAAGGTTGTCCAGCATTATTGAAGGAGGGTATAAAAGAGTTACAAAAAGACCATGCACTTGTGTGTCTAAGGCACAATTTCAATTAAACACTGATAGTTGTGTAAGCTGGTCAGCACTTATGTTAAGAACGTTGAAAGAAAATGGTACACGAGTTCTGATATGAATTATTAGGAAAAAGAAGGAAGAAACGTGTGTGTGTGTGTGTGTGTATATATATATATATATAAATATATTTATATATTTATATATATTTAAAAAGTCATTAAAGGAGGGAAAGAATGACTGAGGTGTTGGGGTTCTTACAAACTAACAAACACTTCAAAAATCAAGGTTGATCAACTGTAATGGTGGTAATGCAGCCTCAGTGGAACCCAAGCAATTCTTCCTAGCTTTATGTCACTAGCTTGTAGGCATGAGTTGTTTGGCAGTGCTCACAATAAGCAAACTGCTTTCCAGTCTCTGAGTGCTTTTGTCTTCAAATCAATTCAAGGAGGTAAAGAGATACCCATTTTACAGACTGGAAATGCTAAGGCTTGGGAAAATCAGGATTCCAGGTCCAACAAAGATAAACTCTGCTGATCAGGTTTCCACAATCCACAATACCAGGTATGTACCCAGCAGTCCTGCTTGATTGTAAGGGAACTGTGTTGTTGCAAGCTCCACATGCAACAGCCATGCTTGGGCAGCTTTTGTCTGCCTCCATTGCTCACTGGATTAGGGCAAATAGCTCATCAAATACCTCAGTATTGATTCCAGGGCAGGAACCCCAATGTGGGTACCTACTGAGCTGACTAAGCTGCACTGGAAAGTGTTGGCTTTGTTAGACATATGGCCAGCACACCATCTCCTTACCAGCAATGCAGAAACCAAACCTCTTGCCCATAATTCCATAGCTCTCTGTATCTTACCAAGACTGCTTTAGAATGCAGAGAGAGCCCTTAGTTCTATTTAAAAAACAACAACAACACTTTAAGCAGAACGATTATTTGGGGGGGGGGGATTTTTTTTCTCCCTAGACTACATAGTATGTTGTATTATCACTACCTAATTAATTATTTAAATCTATAGGTGCTAAGAGGTAGATAAAACAAACATGAATTGGTTATATTCATATCATATGTATGTATATATGATCATCATGCCCTTAGGCTGACATGAAGTGCAGCGCAACAGGCACTTAACAGGGTACCAATGAGAGGTTGGGAGGACTGACTTATGATTTAGTGGCACCCAACCTGAACCAGGAGTTATTATCTCTGGCTCATGATTAACATGGAATTCATGGAATGGCTGTGATTAATAAAGAGAGTGAAGGACATGGCTTGAATTCCTATTGCTGAAAAATATCTGTAACAGGCAGCGTGATAAAAAAACAGAAGTGAGCTTCTACATTTGGTAGACCTCTTCTTTAAGCCCACCTTTTCAAGTAAAAATTAGAATCTGAGTTGATTCCAAGCTGGGTCCAAACAGCTGCTATGCATAAAGCAGAAATGTTAAATCAGTGGTAGTTACACTGAATCTAACTTAAATCCCATCAATTTCAATTGACTTACTAAGTCTAGATCTAACTCATGCTGCAAGGATTAAATTTGTACAGATGTTAGAGATTTTAATTATGCTTCCTTTAGGAAAACAATATCCAAAACACAGAGTTTGCAGCATTAGCCCATTACATTACCCTTGGAAGGCAAGTAACAGCTAAAGAAAAACATTATTTTTCATTAATAAATGCCTATAATCTTTTGAGATTTAGGTAGATACATGTTTTTCCTTCTCAGAAGGAAATCTCAGAAGGAAATCTAATGTTTGTTAATGCTATCAATCAGAAATTTCATTAAAAGTAGTTAATTAAAAGCTCAAAATAAATTGAGCTGCAAGTTATTTAATTTCATGGGAAGGATGTCCTTTTCATTTTTATTTTCCTTTTAAATTGAACAATCAGAAAAGCCTGCTTCAGTTATGGAATCAGGACTCTCTCCATCCAACACCCCCGCCCTTAGCAACTGCTTAACTGAACAATCACAGCCACTCCAGATTGTAAATGTCATCACAGGAACAGGGAAAATGTCTAAACATATAAACTTTTTGCAGGAAAGCCAACCTCACTGACTCAGAAGGACAAGGCTTTAAACAAACAAAAATACAATGCCTAAAGCGTTGCCCTGTTGTGCCTGTACACCAACCACCAAGTTGGAGAGGTATTTTATCTTTGAAAAGTCAAAGTTTAAAAATAAGATCCTGTAATAACGCATCAGGATTCAAATTGATGTTAAATTAAGTGTGTGAAAGGGTGCTTTTAAAAGAGTGGGTTGGTTTTTAGAAAGCTGTGCAAAAAGATAGCAATTCACAGCCTGCAAATGTAACCACTTAGGCCAGGCATTATAAATTACTAGCTTTGTATATGGTTCAAACACATACTTTGGCTGTGTCTGCACACTGCACTAAGACATAATGTTACTTGTTTCAATTTGATATATTATGATATGTGAAACCAGGCCTTATAGTTGTAAACAATTTATGGCTTAGTAATATCTAAGAAATAAAATAGCGTAGCTTGTACAACAAGCCAGCATGAAGCATAACATGAATTTCAGCAACTGATAAAACTATTGCTGAGTAAAAATGATTGGTAGCCGTCCCTTGGCTATACACAGCATGACTTCTCCTTTTACTTACCTTACAGCCATGCTAATTCAGAAGTACAGCAGCCATGAAACAATTTCTGGATTCACCAACTATACAGATGGAAATGTTTTGCTTTTATGGATCATCTTTTTTGGAAATTTGTCTTAGTAAACTCCAATATGCCTTCACATACAATTCTTTTGGTGTCTACAGAATTTGTGCCTTGGTGGAAAAGATGTACCAGCACTGATCCTAAGTCTCTTTCAAATGTCATTTTCCTCAAAATATAAATCTAATGTTTCTGGCTGCTCTGGGAGAGCTGCAAATCAAGCGTAGTTGCCTGTTATCTCCAGGTTGGGGCAGCAAAACCCTATTGAGGCTTTCCTTAAATAAGACTGGCAAGAAGATACAAAAGGATCAGAATTACTAATGAGGCCCCAGCCAGCACAAGCCCTACTGAATTAGATCTTTTTGTAGCTCTCATAAATTACAATGAGGCTTGCAAACAAAAGCATTCTTCTGAAAATAATATTTTCAGTGTCACATGCAATGATCTCAGAACTTGACAAGAAATTTTGAGAATTTCTTTAGAAAACCTATAGATCCATCCATTTTTAAATCCAATTCTTTCTGTTTTACAGCCTCTGACCATTTCTATGACCATTGCATCCAAATAAAACTTTTTATCCTTCTGTTTGTTACTATTATCCTTCTCTGTTGGGTGTGTCAGTCAGCAATTGACCAATTTCATCTGAAATTCTTATTGAAGTATGTTGATATTGGGGGAAAAGGCTACCTTTGAGCATATAGTGGCATAAAGAGTCCCAGTTTTCTGGCACTGTTTATTAAGGAAATTGGAGAGAATTTTAAATTTAAAACCTGAGTATTAACTTATCTGTAGACCTTAAAATTTAAGATGATATTTCATTTCAAGGAAAAAAACTGAGCAACATAGGAACCTTGCCTAATAAAATAGAGACAGTGCTAGCTGCTAACTGCATATAATATGAATACTCTACTGAGTCCAACAAATTGTAGGAAATGCGTAAAATTAATATTCTAAGAAACTGGATGCATAGAGTATTATTGTACTGGAATGGGAATGAAAAAAAAAAGAATCTCCATGGTCAAGTATACAAAAAAAAAAAAAACACTTCATTCAATTTAGGCATCTCTAAATAGGGTTGGACAAGACTTTGTCCAAAACTGGAACTACTTCAACAATTCAAATATCAAGAGCATCCCTAAAGGCAGAACTAAAATGGTCAGACCATGCAGCAAAGTGGAGCCCTTACCCACTATACAAACTATCATTATATTCTTCCTTGTATGTCACTGAAGAACTAAAAATCGTAAGTCTTTTACATTTCATTATTATTATTTTGGAAATACGAGATATACATCTCTTTTTTAAAAAAAAATCTCATGTCATTTCCTATATCAGTTTAGATGCGTCTTCCTCCAAACGGATTGATCCAGTTCCTTCTTTGTTGCTTTGGATATAGTTCCTAAGGATTTTAGTTTTAATTGTAAAGCAACTAATGTGAAGATTTTTGTGCATGTTAATCTCTTTGGAAAGTCTAACTCTGGAAAAACTTGAAAATCTTTCAGAAGGCATAATTTAACATCCATTCACATACGTTGAATCTTGGATTCTAAAAACACTGCACCTACTTAAACATATTCTGGATTTGGTTCCAAGTCAACTGAAGTGAAGTGCAATCAAAACCCAGTTCCAAATAAGATTATTCTTGTTATGTATAACATTCCAAGTTTAGAAATTTTAACATTTCTAATGTAATTCTATGTAACACACGTTCTTAAAACATGCATACATCAGCATAGAAAAGTCCAATAATATTAGGTCATTTGTGTGTCACACAGCTCTCTTACCTGCCCTCACAACCCCTTGAAGCTTATCCTCCTGAGACTTTCTGCCTTTCCACTGTCTGGCTCCTCCTTTCTCCTTCAATTAAAGTAAGCCTTTTGAGGAAAGAAAATCAATTACGTGAAATTCTGGGGAAGAGTCCTGATTAGTTCGTTGTAACTCAAAAGTGATTTTTGAAAGGCCTTTTCCACATTACCATATGCTAACTTCTTAGTGGCTAAAGTGATTTAATGCTTCCAGACAGGTTAGGATGGGGTAGACCTAGACCAAGATACAATCATCAACATGATCTATGATAGGACACAGCAATGCCTTGAAGTAATTTTCTTAATCTGTTGCTCCCCAGATGTGTAGAATTTTAATCACTACAATCCCCAGCCAGCAGACAGGTTGCTTGAGGGATTATGAGCATTAGTCCAACACACCTGGAGAAAACAGAAGGTTGCTACAGATGATCAGAGCAATTAAGTCCAATCAAACTCAACTCACAATGGTGTCTTTCTAGACTTTTCTGATGGACAAGATGAAACCCATCCAACTATCCAGATTAAGATCACAGAGATAGCTGAGGTCCTGATGTAATTAAGATTTGTTTTTTGCTTTTAAGGATTCAATTTTATTGGCTCGTCAAGTAATCTTTTACAAAAAGATGACGTTACAGATTTTCTCTGAGCCACTTTCAGACTACATCAGAGGGAAAGGCAATCTTCCAAATCATTAAGTTCTTTAATACTAAAACTTAAAAACAAATCCTTGTTTTTTAATTTATTATCTGGTAAGTCTTTTTTTTTTTTTTGGCTTACCATTGATATAAAGCTGTAAGTATGTAGGCCCATCTAGATATTTCTTGATGAGTATATTCCCGTCATCACTATCCAACCTGGGCACATACACATTGTAAACTGAAAAAAAGTGGTGGAGTTTAAGGCCAATGTTTGTCTCAATTACTATATACCTGATCTTTTTGGGGCACTAGAAATGTGGAAGCAATGGCAGAAAATAGCAGCAAATTGAGGTGCTGAGGGAGAAGCTATAAGTGCTGATAATAAGAGCCAAACCCTGAGTTCCTAATCTCATCTGAAGCCCTCGAGAGCAGAACATGAGCGGGCTTCTGCATCCAGTAGAATTTGATAGCTATATTGGCATTAACACAAGAGTTCAAAGATCCAATTCAAAATGAAAAATGTCTGCAAAACTCACAATTCAATGGCAAAAGGGTCCACTATCACAGTATGGCAGGATCAAACATTAATGACTGCACATTTTTTAAAAAAAATAATCACATGGGAAAGCCATACTCAACCACTGTATCCATCATTTCCACTTAATAGATAAGAACAGATGCACCCCTCAGTAGGACAAAGGACTCCTATTCAAGGCAACTGAAATCCTCTTGGATATTAATAGGACTCATGCAATGCCTACAGCTTGAACCCTAAAGCCAGGCTGTTAAAACTGCCTACCCTTTGAATAATGTTATGCTCATTTGGATAATGCAAGATGTCTTCACTCCAAACACTTCCTATAGCTGGAATTTTAAAAAAAGAAAACACAGCAACAATTTAGATGCTAAGAGCACTAGAGGAGAGAGGGGAGAATGATTTCCCACCCATCCCATTCCTTTTAAAGAATATCAAAAATTGCTTGCTGCTGAGGAAAAAGAGCCAACTTATTTGCTATGGCTGATGTCTGAATTATAATAATTTTTAAAACCCTGATCTATGCAAGTCTGTATTAAAAGCAAGAGAAGTCAGAGATCTTCAAGGAAGGAAATCTACATTTGCTTTACATCTTTTCCTGTGGGGACAAAGAGCATTAGAGGTAGTATTCTTTTTATTCCACTCTTCTTAACTTATAGTTCATTATAGTATAGCCCATATTGTCTAAATAGGCAGTATTTTGCAACTGTCTTTATTTATGAAGGGTGAGAAAAGTTTCGATAGGAACACCAACGTTTTCCAACTAGGAAACAGAGTCATTGGGGCTTTCAACTCATCCCAAGCTCCTATCTCTACAGGAAAATGATAGCGACTTTTTAAGAACAATATATCTTTCAAGAACCCAGTTTGCATTTGACTGGAGAGCTTCTGGGTCAGAATAATTTTAAGACAATCATTTGTGAATCCATTTACAACCACTGTTTTTTTTAAATTACATGTAGAGAGGGTTATCTGTTCCAAGTGCAATGGAATATAAAAGAAAATTCAATGTTTAAACCTGCCCAGCTCCATACTTTTCAAAGAGTGGCAATTAGAGTTGCAGTTTCTTCTCAAGAATGTACAAAAAGCCACAAGAAAGTTTGGCTCCCATTTCTTTTCTTTAAAAATAATAATGGTCTGCTTCTCCTCAGTAAAACTGAGGTAATCTTTGTAGAATATTTCACAATGATATAGCGGAAAAGACGGTCAAGTGAATGTAAACACAAGAATGTATCTCAACTGAGTAATTCCAAATCGGAATAATTTTGTAACTTTTCATTAAAAAAACCTCATCTGTGGCTTTTCAATCCTAAGCACACTTCATTTAGTTTCAACACGCAAAAGATATTCAAAAATCATTCATATTTCTAGTGATCTATCACAAATTTCCTTGTATAAATGTACTGTAGTTCAATATCTGAGATGCTAATATCTCTACATTGAGATGCAATAGACCAACCACTTTCGTGAGATTTGTCTTCTTTCTGTTCTCATAATGCCATTTTCTGCAGCATTTGAGCAACTCCCAAGTGATGAAAAATATGTGAAAGAAATCCCAGCTTTAATAAACTAGATAATCAGCCAAAGAGAAAATCACAAGTCTGAATTCCAACTGCCACAGAATGATATAACTATGCCAATCAAACTCACCCTAATTTCCTAATTAAATATATTTAAGTAGAATTAGCCAATTTACACCCTCAAGATTGCAATATTACTTTGTCTTTTAGACAGCTGCTTCTTTTCACACAAATGCTAACAACCTGGACACTGACATTGAAATATATAGATTTTAATTTTGCTAAATTTTTGAGCGGACAGAATTTATAATTTAAATTTTAGATATAAGTAAAATTAAGCTGCAAATTTGAGTGTGGGAGAAATCTGCCGTCTTTTCCGCTACATCTGAAGTCTCTGCAGTTCTCCATAAAGAGCTTGTAACATTTCCGACCTGCATAATAACTTCTGGCTCATTAGAAATTAGGAAACGTAACTTCTCTTTTCATTAAAAAAATAAAATATTCAAGACTATCAGCTTTTATATAAAATATCAGCAAGCCCAAAAAACAAAACAATTGTTGAGGTAACTTCATACCTTGAGGTAGCTTTTCCCCTCCATTATTCTCTCATTTCTTTTTTCTTCTTTTTTTCCCCCCTCCTTTCCCTTAAAACACAAAGCAACACCTGACATTTCTGTACATGCCCGTTCTTGCAAGGTTTCAGAAAAAAAGGAAAGCAGCCGCTTCAGTGTAAACAGCAAGATCCATACAGCCACTTCAGCTTAAATTTAAAGATGTCATTCGGGTAACAATCATATGGAAACACACTGGACTTGGATTTGCCAGTTGTCATAAACAGCCCAGTCCCAAAAACACTGTTAAACCTGGACAATCAATGAGTCAATATATAACAAAAGTCTTGTCTCTGCTAAGATATAAATATATCAAGACGAAGAGGGATAATTTGCCCCATTACTTATTTCCTTTTTAAAGAAATTACAAAATTAGAATGCAACATGATTGCACTCTAGATCAATAAATCTGTAATCAAATGAATTAATGTTTACAGTTTCCATGCCTTGAATCACTGCTAAATGTTAAGTTATTTCATTAGCATTTTAAGAGAGCTAATACTTAGGAATCCATGTAAAACAAAATGTCCATAATTCAAATCAACAGGGCTTCTGCAGCCACTGAAATTCAAACCATTGACTTGATTTTTCCATTAATTTGGCAAAACTATGCAATTTGTTGCTTATTCAGGGTCTATAATGACCACTCTGGGGCAAAGACCTTTCCATGTCCACCGATCAAACTGCCTTGAGGTAGATAAGGATGCAAGAGTTATTTTCGTTGGGTGGACTGTTTCAAATCAATTCCCTGTTATATTAGTGCTGGTTGTAAGGATTCAAGGCTCTGTTGGGGAAAATAACTTATCCTCAGAGGAACCGTTTAATTGATGCCCAAGTCGATGCAGAGACAAAACTTTGTTCTGGGCTCAGGCTGCCAGGTGAGCAGTTCCTGCTCTTCATAAATTCTAAAAACCCATTGTAAATATTTTACAGATTTTTCTTTTCTTTTTAAAGTTTGCATAAGAGTGACTGGGATTAGTAACCATATTACATTCTTCTGATGTCTATATTTGGTATCGCCTCCTAAAGAAAATCAATAACTTTGTGGCAGAAAAAAAATATATATAAGTATTTCAAAATTATGGAGTTGTTTGCTATTATTTTAATCACACCAATTTTTTCATTAAAATCACATTTGGTTTTCATTTTTAGACCCCATTGTTTTTCTTCCTCCAAGCTGAAAAAGAAATAGCAATTTCTCTATGCATACTTGCTATTTCTTTCATTCCTTCTGGAGGTAATTAATTCCTTTTCGGGGGATTATCTGACACATTGGTTTGTCTTCTACAGAGATAAACCGGCACTAATTTTAATCTGGAGATTAAGTCCTTTGCAGTGCAATCCAGTACATACTTGGAATTCAATGCCCAAGGTGTAAGGTTGTGCTGTTAAGTCATCCATTTTAATCTCATAGTTAAGTTCAAAGAAGTAGAACTCCAACTCAGAAAAGATGTTCTGTGTATCTTCACTCATTCAAGTATGGGGAAGCCTGCTCCCTAGAGAAAAGTCACCCAGAAACAACTCCAAGAGTGCCTGCATTAAAGGCATTTTTCATAAATGGCCCACAGTTTTTACTGCACCAATTTGTAAGCCTTTTGTTATTCTCTGTATCAAGACAGAAACTACTATTTCTTCTTTTTGGTATGACTAAGCGCTGAGGTTCTTCTAAAGGTAGGATGACATATGAAAAGAGATAATTTCTGATGTTACTAAAACTTTGGAGGAAGTATAGCAAGTGATGTCCTCTGTCTTGAATCTTTCTCAGCTTCTCATGTGAGAAGCTTCTGGAATGGACAGGAGCCCTGACTGTTCTTGGAAGAAGAAGAAAAAGGACCTGGGCTGCTACGTTCTAAGGTCCTTTGATTGTAAATCTATATGGCAAGTAGCCTTGAGGTATATCTTTCTTCTGTAACCAATGCCCTGTCCCATAGTTCCCCTAAAATGTGTTTAAAAGTTAGGTACATGCAATGTACCCCAAACACTTACGTATATATAGAATTTTTACTCTCCACTGTTGTTGTTTTGGGGGGGGGGGAAGGAGGAAGCAATAATTACATGGACAGAGGCAGCCATGGAAACTGGCAATCAGGAAGAGAATGAGGCATTTTCAAATGACAGGTAAATAGACAACACTTTTGAGGCTGAGATTCTCCAAGACTGGCAGATTTCTTGCTACTTTATCTAAAGCTGCCATTCAACAGTTAAAGTGAGATGGCTGCAACCTCTCCAAATATAGTAACTACAGGTTATTTGCTAGAGATCATACAGCAGTAATTGCAATTTCTGTTCAGTAGAAGTCAAGGGCAAATTGATTTACCATTGGGGAAAGGCCGAACTGAAGGAGATCTAAATGCTATCTTTACACTGCAGTTCACAATTCATTGCTTCATAGCATCAACCTTAAAATTCATGTAAAGCAGTTTTCCCCAATCTTGCACCTTCCAAATATGTTTGGCTTCAACCCTCAGAATTTCCCAACTAACAAAATACTAGTTAGGAGGTATTGGAGCTGAAATTGAATGCATCAAGAGAAGAACAGATTGGTGAAAACTATACATCTTCCAGAATCTATAATAAATCCTAAATCACACTTATTTTAATAGAGTGCGTAACTTCATCTGAAAACATTCAGTGAACTAACCACAGGAAGAAGCAAAAGTCCTGAAATGTTAAAATATTAAACACTGGTGAAATAGAAATAGGATTTTCATTTGTCTGTCTAGAACAGGGACTTTACTGTGGCTTGGACTTACACGTCAAAATGTGTACATACCAAATTAGGAGAGAGGGTACTGGACATTAAGCCACTTTTCACAAAATGAAAAGTAAAGCCACTTTACCCTTGAACTGGAAATAATTTGACTTAATCGTTCAAGATAATTAAAACTCTATGGCCACTTGTCACAATTTTGTCTTCCGTTAACTATTTCATTCCAATAGGATTGTTCATTGAGAATATACATCTTAGGTGGATTAAAACATGTTCCTCACTGATTAATTTTCTAATTATTTCAATATTTTTTCTGGTTTAACAAATTAAAATATTTAGAAGGGTGGGGGAAGGGAGAGGAAGAGAGACAGATAGACAGACGTGCTATTTATTTTCTCAATTAAGAAATCAACCTGGCTCAATTCAGATATCATACAAAACTCCTTTGTAATAAAATCATGTTTTGTTATTTGCCAAGCATACAAAAATCAGAAACCCAGGCTAAAAATCAATTTACAAGGTCAATTTTGAGATGGTTTATCAGATAAAAAGAGCCAATTTGAAGACTATGCCATATTATTTTAAAAAAATAGTACTAACAATGGAAAGTGGATAAATAAATAGTTGCCGTATGTGTGGACAAAACAAGTACAGTAATTTAAGAGGATTTACTGAATGAACTTAAATCTATTAATCACAATTTGGATGAATTTACAGAACACACCAAGTTAGTGTTTTAACTTAACTTAGCCTTTTGTATGAATCCTGCCCATGAATTGCCTACATATTAGGAATATCAAATCATGGTATAGGTTTTAAATTAAAAAATAGTTGAATTCTAAACTATGGATTCTAAACCCACAATTCATGATTTGGTATAAATTTCTGAATTGAGCCAGTGCGCCATTCCAGGAGAGAGTACCAAAACGTTAAATTTGTTTCTTTATTTTTTCTCCCCATTTTTATAAACTTTTAGGACAACTGAAACAGGCAGCCAATTTGAAGAATGTAATCTTTCTTCATATTTTGACAACTTCCAAGGAAACGGGGAAATGGATATCTTATTTAATATGTAGAATGAATTCTATACTTTCAAAACTTTCTTAAAGTGACAGGATGCATCTCGGGGACATATAGATGTTAAGAGAGAAACTGTATTCTAAATGTAAAGTTGAATGACCATCCTGTAAAGCAGAGATGGTCCACTGAGGGGATATCCAGGTCGAATCAATCTTCAGGCTCCAGGCTTTTCTCCCAGATGGAACATGAAAATCACCCAATCAGATTCTTGAGCTCATTCTCCCATAGTGGCAATGTAGCCAAAGTGTCTTGTCCAGCTGGGGAAGCCTAGGTTAGAACAATGGACAGCTCCACTGTATACTAATAGGATTATGGGAAACTATTTTGACATCTGACTTTCATAATCTTAAGGACATAATATTGTATCCATCTGTGGAGATTCTCAGTTATCCAGGTCATACTTGTCTCAAAGGTGCTTTTTTTTTCTTTCAAAAGTCTGTTGTTTCCTTGAGGAAGAAGAAAGTGTTTCACTTTTCATCTACGAAGCTTCCTCAGTTCTGATGGCAGGGAGATGGATAGGTACTGACAGTTGAGACTGGATGCTGGTGTGTGCGTGTGTGTAAGAACAGGTTTTGATAGGATGTGTTGGTGATGGTGGAAGGATTGTATTTCTTTGCTGTCATCTGGTCATTAACACTCTCTGAGAGCTGTTGAGGCACAGATAAACTATATTAGGGCACAGATAAACTCCCAAATGGCAATAGCTCTCAATTGTTGAGGCTACCAGAATAGGGAACAGATAAACCCACAAATGGCCTCAATAGCTCCCAGAGAGTGCTAACAACCAGATGATTGCAAAGGAATATAATCCTTCCATCCTATCAGAACCTATCCTTTTATCCCCTCACCATCCAGTCTCAACTTGTCAGTACCTATCCTTCCATCCCCCGCCATCATCTGATGAAGTTTCTTGGATGAAAAGAGAAATATTTTCTTGTTGCTCAAAAAAAATAAAAAATCCAGCCCAGTTGCCTTTTAAAGAAAAAAGCACCTTTGAGATAATACTATATCACACAGAAACCAATTATCTGGAAAATATCAGATAAAGGAGCCCATTTAGGAGGCTATTATAAAGAATCAGGGTTCCATTCTCTGCCATTCTCTTGCCAAGTGCTAACATTAACCCTAATTCATGTTAGGGAGAGGGTTGCCCAAAGAAATTTTGAAACTATTGGGGATGGGTGGGGAAGAAAGTATTTAGGTGTTGTTTTTTTAATGGCCTTGATCTTGTAAAGCATGACATACTTCCATGTGTAAGCTTCTTGCTCACCTAGATAAAATCATGATCCTATGTAGTTTGATATTCTGACAGAGAAGTAATTTGATTAGGAACTTTTTGTTTATTGCTGAACCAAGTATCCCCCCCCCCAAAAAAAAAATTATACTGTGTGAAAATACCTTTGTGTGAGAGGCCACATCTGTATTGATACAGACATGTATATATTCATGATAGAGTAAAACACCCATCTCCAAAAAATTACTAAGACCTGCCTACGGTAAACTGAATCCCAGCCACTCTTAGGGTTTTGAAATAGATCATCATTCTTTTCTGCTTGGCTTTGTTTCATCCATTATCCATTTGTCCATCTTTCTCTCTCTCACTCTCTCTCTCTTCTTTCACACACCCGGGTACAAGTCATTTCCTATTTCCTTCGTGTTTGTGTCTGGTTGTTCTGTCCCTTTTGATGCTGTTGTTTCACCTGAGCAAGGATATCACGTATTTTGCGTTGAGCCATCTGATAAAAAAGAGCAAAGGGAGAGAGGGGGGGAAAGGAAAGACAGGTAAGACAAATCACTCTTTCTTAACTTTAGAAATTATGGTAATTACATCTCAACAATTCTAGAGGAGGTGGGTGGCTTATTGAATCAAATTAAGATTTTAAAAACCCATGATTTGACACTGTTATCAATAAATTAAGAATTCAGGTAGTTACAAGTTTCTCTTGGTTTCTTATCATAATTATAAGCAGTTATAAATCTAATGTTCCCCAATCAGTGTTTTTCAAACTTTGCAACTTTACTGCTGATTTGAAACCCCTTATGCAACCCCGTTTTACATAAAAGAGAAAAAACGAATTTAGGATTTATAGTTTTGATGCTTAAAAATGATGTATTATAGAAACAAGACAGTTATGTAGTAACCAAGGTGAAAGAGGTAAATTAATGACTCCTTAAAACTGCTGTAAGATAAGGAGCTACTATTTCTTTGTATCTTTTTTTCTTTTCTAGATTTCTTTTATTTTTTTCCTTTCTTGCATTCTAGTTTTCTTTTATTTTTTCCATTTTTCTTTTGTTTACTTTACTTTGTATTCTTTTTATCTTTCTTTTAAAAAAATTTAAGTGTGTGTATGTATGTGTGTGTATGCCTGTGTGTGAGGGAGGGAGAGAGAGGGAATATTTGCCACTACTAAATTTTTGTATGGAATAAACTGTTATTGGATTTCTCTTCTTTAACCTAAATTGAAGAATATGCATAAGTTTATGCATAAGGTTGTGAAGAGGCTGAGATGTGGATGCAGGGAGCATGCCATTAGAAAACTATAGGTAAAAATAGTGCTTCCGCCTTGCTACTCCACGTCTCTATTTTGGATTACTATATAGGCTTTCTCTGTTACCTTGGGATACAGTTGGTCAATGCCAAATCAGGTTGGAAGAAGGGAGACAAACCTCATTTACATCCGTAAGATTTGGTGGCAGCACTGGGAGATCCATCTCAGCTCTGCCTAACCAAGTATTTGGCACAGCAGCAGTTCAGAAAGACAAAATGGAGGAGGAACTCATCTATCAGAATTTTGTCTCATCCAGGAATCTTAAAACTGATTTTGGCTGATTTCAGATCACAGACAAAAAAACAAGGATTTCACTGATGAAACACCTGCTCTGCTGTTCAACTTTCTCCTTCCCTCAGCTAGGACATTTTTTTAAGGTCACCATAGAGAACCTCAGGAAACATCAATATCCCTGCAGTGACTATTCACTCAAGTGCATCTCAGCTACTGGATAATCTCAGAACATGATAGGTCCAAAACATAGTACAGAATTTAATCTCATTCCAGGTTGGGGAACAAGCCAGGATGGAAGTGAGCCAGTCATCAATACAGAATCCACCTTTCTTCTGGATGGGCCATAAGACAGATGGATTCTCTTAAGAAAATCCACCTCTCTTATGAGATTTAATAATCTAAGATTATGAGATTTAATCAGTTTTGGCCTAGTCCCTTCAAGTCCCCCTGGAAAGGCAAGAAAGTTATTCAGTTGGTCTGCCCTCAGAAACAATGGAGCCAGAAATATTCTCAAATGTTTTGTTAAGATTTTTCAGAAGCAATGGCATATAATCATATTCAAGTGGAACAACGACGTAAGAAGGGACACTAAACCATCTCTGGTTACACAAAGAGTGGAAGATCCTTGGTTTATCGCTTAACTTTGAGCAATGAATTGAATGCAGTTCAGTTAATTATGAAGTTAAAACATAGAAGGTCCTCAACAATTACTGCATCTTTTGTTTCACTGTCTAAAAGGGCTTTCTATGATGGTGGAGGGAGTATTTCGGGCCAGTCCTCAGAAATTCAGTAATTTATTGCATTGCAAACTTATTGCATTCAATAACTTATTGCATTGCAATCAGTTACAGTTTGCAATGGACTGTTGAAAGTAAAATTGCTTGCTCAGCATTAGACATCACAATTACTGCAAGATCTGCTGAACTGCAATTGGGCTACTTATTTGTAAGATCAGATGGCACTAGTGGCAAGGAGGTTCTAATTCCTACTGATGTGTCAACTGCAGCTCTACTTGAGTTAAGGTAGCCTAGTTGCAGTGTTCTATGTCTTACTAGTCTCATAACTGCATTATTATATTGCATTCTATATGAAATTACTTTTAAAGATGGCCCACAACTTGCAAATAATCATGTTAACTAGGATAATTAAATGGGACCTTATAATACAAATCCTGAAATGTTTCACAGGTTGCCTGGAAGCCCTCAATATAAAGCTGTCAATATAAAGTATATTTATTTGTAAAACTCTAAATGGTCTAGGGCAGGGGTCTCCAACCTTGGGCCCTTGAAGCCTGGCGGGGGAATTCTGGGAGTCGAAGTCCGCCAGGCTTCAAGGGCCCAAGGTTGGAGACCCCTGGTCTAGGGCCTAAAAATGTGAAATTCTATCCACCCTAATTCCACACAATTTAAGCACTGAAATTATTAAATAGCTCCTACTAGGATCACTTGATGACAGAATGGCTAGAATTAGTTTTTTCATTTTGGTATTTATGGTTTTTAAGAATTGTTGGTTTATTTATAAAGTTGGTTTAACTTTATTTCATATACATTTTATTGTTCTTTTCTAAACCATCCTGGGCTTATCCAAATTAATATTAAACCACGGCTTAGCGAAAAAGGCAGCTGGGGGCTATACTTTTTAAAATCACTTGGGGGGGGCAGCCAAGTGAGCATAGTGGTGCTGCAATAACATCATCAAAGACATGGGGTGAGATTTTTTTATATTATCTGTCCAGTAAAATGGATACAATACACCTATCTGAGGCTTAAGAGATCTAGTCACTATTTATTTTTTAAACGCAACATGATGTTGAAGGAGGAAGGAACGCTGATCTCCTGCCAAAAAGGAGGCTGAGAAGATGAATGCCACCACTAGCTGCCTGCTGCTCCTTGTCTAGCATCAATTCTGAACCAAGCCCATATTAGCAAAGTACACAGTGATCTGTATTAGCTGCTACCTGGCTAGCATAGAAATGTCCGATGATTTTGACAATGACTTGCTCATTCTCATCAGGGGTTTGATCCCGGGGAACAACTACCTCAGCTGCTGTCAGGTTCTGAAGTTCATTGACCTACGGATAGAGACACAAAATAAAATAATTAGACAGCATTTCAAATGTTAATTACTCTATACTGAAAAAGAACAAACAGCTTTGCAAATACCCTATTTTGTGGTCATGTCCCACTCTATTAGAACACACAATTCCAGTTTGCTCATAATCGGATATGCAGAAAGTTAAAAAGAACTATTCAGCATTTTGAAATTGTGCCATTATTTTCAGTGTTCTTACTTATATACATTAAAACTTGGGCCCATACTTCGTTTTGTTTTTAAAGAAGTAAAGTTCAATAAATAAGGCACAGTTGGCTAAGCTAGTGCAATACTTCAAGTTAAAACCAACAAATGTTGCAATAGCTTAAACAATGAAGTCAGTCTTAAAAGTTTATTTTGTAAATCTAGAAGACCAGTTTTATATGGGACTATATATTTGAAAATTAATTTAGAAATAATCAGGATTTATAATAATCATAAAGATTTCATATTATGGAATGTCTTTCCCATGATCACAGAGCAACACCACAAACAATATTTTGCTTGCTAAAAAGTATAAACAGTAAGCAACCCAGAACCATAATAGAGTTCAGAATTTCTATCGTAAATCCCGATGGTCATACATTGAGACACCCATGTGACCAGACCCAACTTTACAACTTTTGCAGTGGTGATTAAGCAAATGCTGTGATTATAAAGTGACCGTGGTGGTTGTTAAACATATCAATGTATACCTATGACTGGCAAGAAATCAGTCAAAAAAGCTGGAGACCAGTGAAAGTAATAAATTGTGGCCTCCTGACTATGGAACGCTATAACTGGCCATAAAGATGAACAGCTTACCAAGTGTCTGAAATGTGGCTATGTGACACAAGGGGGAGAGTGAGAACAACCAGTGAAACCCTGAAACTGGGTCGTAAGTAGCTTTGGGAAAGTCCCACCATAACTTCAAATGGTGGGAGGGTAGATCTCCCTCCAACCTGATTTCAGATCTTGGTTTCTGACTGCTTTCACATTGCTCTGCATCAGAAGCAAATTTAAACAATGCAGGAAACTACAATATAGCCTGATGTTAATGTTTAAATCTCCTCAGAACCTCCTGTAGGTGGCAATTTGAAGCATGCCTTAAATCTTAACTGTGCTTCAGTTATCAGGCATTTGGGAATCAGATCTGCATCATACTGACTATCCATTATTTAATATCCCATCTTGGGCCACACATGACGCAACCAATTCTCAGGGCTTTTTTTTCTTCTTCCCAAGATGACTTTCCCCAGCCCAACCCTGCACTCACTGTTTTGCCTCCTTTGCCAATGACTCTTCCTGCTGCTGAGGCAGGAACTCGGATGTGCGTCTCAAGTTTCACTTCTTCTTTGGGCCCAAAAAAGTTCTCCTCTTTCAGCTTTCCATAAATTCGTCCTTGAGCCTGAAACAAATCAAACCACCAAAGAGCGATTAAATAGGTGGTTCATTTCCTCTGAAATTACAACCTGTTTTAATTTTATCTAATACCGGAAGAGCGGTATTAACTATACCTTGACATAAATACAGACCAAAATAGCTCATCCTTCTTATTGTTTGTTCTCTAAACCTAGACTGTAAGCTAATATCTATGGGTGCCTTCAAGTCATTGCTGACTCTTAGTAACTAATCCTGCAGTTTCCTTGGCAAGATTTTTGGAAGTGCTATGCCTTTGCTTCCTTCTTCCTAGGGATGAGAGAGACTTGTTCAAAGTCACCCAGCTGACATCATGTAGTCCCATACTACAAGACTACAGTTCACATTATAGACTGATACATTAACCATTAAACCAGACTTCCTCTCTAGGAATGGTAATAGTGATACTTAAATAATAAACATAATTAAATGGGGTAGCAGAACACAAAGTTAACAGCTGTGCACAAACTCAATATACTTAAAATTAGTATTTTCTGATTTCTGTCATGTTAAACATTAACATCTGGCAATAATTTGTAAAAGGATTCTGAGGACAGCATAGAGTCCCGGAGTAGCAGGCTATCGGTCTGTTTTCTGTACAGGTACTCCTTGTTTAGTGACCACCACTGGGACTGACAACTTCATTGTTCAGCAAAGCAACTACTAAGTGAAACCGAAATCGCAAAGCAACTACTAAGTGAAACCGAAATCGCAAAGCAACTACTAAGTGAAACCGAAGCCTTTGTTTGCTTTAACGAACTGCAAAGGTTATAAACGCAAAGAATGGTCACAAAGTTAACTCTTTCATCACAGTCATAACTGCAAACGGTTACTAAATGAGGCAGTTGCTAAACAAGGACCACCTGCAGAACTTTGGGTATGGATTTTTTTTTTGTTAGGATTTCTTTTTATGATGCTTTCATTCTAGCATCCGTGCTAAAAATTACATTTTAGAAAGAAAGAAACACATTTCTATAATTGCAACATCCTTTATATATAATTCACAAAAGAAAGAAACCTTGAATTGGGCTTCTGGTGGTCCAGTGATTATCACCATACGCACTTTGGAATCTGGAGTTTCTGGAGGAGCAATCTAGAGAAGACAAAAAGAGGCAATGAAATGAAATATTAATCTGTCTAACAACTATGTCCAAGCTGAGTAGAAAAGATTGATCTAGTCATGAAAATAAGAATTATGATTTATTTATTTTTTTAAATGGTGGTGGTGATGTCCTTCCAAAAGTGTTTCTCTGATTTTCTTACAAATAGGTTAAAGTATTTTAAAAATGCATTATTAATTTCACCAATGAAGTTAGAGACACACTATTACCGTGTTTCTCCAACAATATGGCCTCCCCCAATAGGAAGTCGCAGCATGTTTTATAGGCATAAAATCAAATTAAGCCCCTCCCCCCAAATTAAGGCCTATATTAAACATGCAAAATGGGGGGGAATGGCGGGGGAGGCTTGCCGTTAGGAATTACTTTTGTTGCATACCCGGATATGATGCTGCCTGCGTTGACTTCGGCGTTGGTGGGGCACTTCGTATCGGGAGACCTTCCACCACCGTAGCTTTCCCTTCTCCCCGTGCTGCCGCGGTGTTTAGAGCAAGGCCACGGCGTTTGGTGCCGCCACGCACGGCCAGCCAGGGCTCCTCCCTGCAACACTCGGCTTCAGGCGCTCCTGTCGCCGCCTTCCCTTCGCCTTCGAAGGCAAAGCCAATTCTTTTAAAAATGACGCCCTACTACCGGTACGACAAAGCCTCCCCTGCCCAAGAGGGCAGCCCAACCCCATGTGGGGAGGTGAATCTCCCGGGGCCGCAGCGCAGGTTCGGCCCACCCCAGGAGAAGCGCTCAGCCGAAAGCAAGCCCCGGATGCGCACCCACCCGCCTGCCAAGCGAAAGAGCTGGGCCGCCCCGAGCTTGGCTTCCTTCCCAAGTCCCTCCAGCCCGAACGCATTTGGAGATGCGTGGGGACGGGCTGGGCGAGGGGTGGAAAGGACGGGCTGCTTTGGGCTCTCTCCGCCGGACCCGCCGGCCAGGGAAGCAGCGCTGCCGTTGCCTCACCTCCCTGTCCGCGGATGGGTGGGCGCTATCACTGCCTCAGGCAGCCTCTCCCAGTGGCCCCTTCGGGTTCAGGCTGGAGGGACTTGGGAAGGAAGCCAAGCTCGGGTCGGCCCGATTCTTTCGCTTGGCAGGCAGGCGCGCACCCACGGCTCGCTTTCCTGGCTCTGCCCAGCCCGCACAGCTCTGGCATGGCTCTAGCAGGATGAGCGGAGGGCTTGGCAGGGAGGCGCTCGCTGCCTTGGCGAGAGCTCTGCCGCCGGGCAGGAGGGCCCGCCTGTCAGCTGTGCTGGGCACCCCAGGCGAAGCTCTTTGCGCTCTGCCCAGCGCCAGGCAGGGATGGCGGCTGGGTGCTTCTCCCGGGGTGGGCCGATCCTGCGCTGCGACCCCAGGAGATTCGCCTCCCCACGTGGGGTTGGGCTGCCCTCTCGGGCAGGGGAGGCTTTGTTGTACCAGTAGTAGGGCGTCGTTTTTAAAAGAAATGGCTTTGCCTTCGAAGGCGAAGGGAAGGCAGCAACAGGAGCGCCTGAAGCCGAGTGCCTCCGCCGGGCTCCGGTTGCAGGGAGGAGCCCTGGCTGGCCACGCGTGGCTGCGCCAAACGTCAAGGCGTTGCTCTAAATGCTGCGGCAGCACGGGGAGAAGGGAAAGCAACGGTGGCAGAAGGTCTCCCGATACGAAGTGCCCCACCAACACCGAGGTCAACATCCAAGCCGTCGCTGCCTGCCCGCCCGAGGATGCAAGGGGGGGGGAATTAAGTCACCCCCGAAAAGACGGCCTAGCTGTTTTTTGGGGGGTCAAAAAAAAAATAAGGCCCGGCCTTATTTTGTGAGAAACACAGTAGGAAGTTTCTGCCTTGTTTTCCAAAACCATTATGGCTATAGCTATTGCATAAAACGTTTCACAGCAAATCACTAACTAGCAAAGATTAAAGCACCGAAACAACAGACAGGTACGGGCACCTTAATTGAGGCACTTGCGAATCTGGAGAGCTGTTTGATGTGCTGACCCTTCTTGCCAATGATTGCACCTACAGCCTGGGCAGGGATGAAAACATGCACAGTCTCTTGCTCAGGAGGCTGCCAAGAGAGTAGTTTCATGAATACCAATCAATGTCAGAAAAATGGGGCATTCTCAATTGACAGTCTGAAAGGCTAAAAAACAGATTTCTACTACTATCCATTATGGGCTGAAATGCAATGATATCTTTACATGTTTAGTGCAAGTTTAGTGAACTCGATGTGAAAGGAACTGATGATGCAGATAAGAGAAATAATACATGAATTTAGATAAAATAGGATTGAAGTGTTTATAATAACTGGAAGCAACAAATTAGGATGGGTGGTTATGAAAGCTCAGTCAAATCATCCCTTTACTGTCTTCATGCTCAGAAGCAAATATATAAACCTTATTGAAACATATGTATTGTATTGAAGAGCCCTTGTATTGTAGTAGTTAAAATGAAGTATTGTAAACAAACTCTGCCCACAGCCTGAGGTTCTGTCCTAAAGGGGCTAAAGGCTGACTCAGCCTTCCATCAGTAAAATGAGGACCCAGGTTGTTGGGGCCAATATGCTAATTGTAAACACTGTAAACTGCCCAGAGAATGCTGAAAAGTGCTATGGGGCAGTATAAACATCTAAACACTATTGCTATTGTACATGTTTTTTCTGATACACTACTGACATTACATGAATCAGTGAAACACTCAGGTGGAACACCTGATCCCCTTTAAAAATCTTGTCCATTTTGCAACTGTCCAGTCTTGTATAAAGACGTGACATCCCATATGAAATAAAATACAGATCTAAAAAAAAAAAAAAGATTCCCAACATCTAGAAACACCCCCAATCTAAGGATGCATTATATGGATTTTGCTGGATGCAACCATATTTAGTGGGAATCAAATGGTGGAAGCTATACAAACATTCCACCGAGATAAACTGCCGAGATAGTTTAATTGACTGACAATTCTATACTACAAAGTTGCTTATATCGAAACAGACTTCAACATTACCAAAAAAGAATTATATGGAGCTGCTCCAGAAACACTACTTGGAGGAGGTGGCACTGCGTTGGAAGAGGCAGGAAAGAGACCAACAGCAGCTAAGTTGAGACCAGGTATCAAGTGTGATTGTAGCTAAAATAAAAACAGAAAAAAACAAGACAAAGGAAGGAGGAATGGGATGTTTAATTTTTTTTTCATTATAACACAGTTACTGGGACTCAACTAATAACTCTGAAATGCTTATAGCAAAGATCACCTCATTTTTCTTTAAATGAGCATACTTAATATTATGCTTGAAAGTTCTTGAAGTGATGTTTCTATTTTTATATGTCATTCTCAAGATGGTCCATAATTCCTTTAGAATTTGTTTTAAAAAGTTTGAGTCTGCTTTATTACTAGATTAGTTAATTTATTAAATTGTTATGGCCACCCAGAAGATGGATTAACAGTTAAAATGGAACCCCTAAGGCAGCCTAGATTTAAACAAGTAGAATAAACAACAAATATAACAGCCTGCCACCCCCGAAATGCAAAGCAAACACATTAAACCCTAGGCCTGGGAACAGAGTCAGGTCATATGGGGGTGGGGGAGGGAATGCTGTTCTGGAGGGTGAGGGCCATGACACAGGGGCACACCTCCTTGGTCTCACAAGATGGCATCATTTAATTAAAGAGATCTGCAGCATATCCTCCCTGCTCAAATTTACAGGTGGACAGAAGTAACTGAAGGGAGGTTTTTTCTCAAATAACCAGGCCCTGTGCCAAGAAGGACCAGGTTGTTATTCTCTGCTATATATCTTCCCATTATTTTATACAGATAGTCTCAACTTACAACCAATCGTTTAGCAATCTTTCAAAGCTACAACAGCACTGAAAAAGTTACATACAACCAGTCGTCATGAATACAGCCACTGGAGCATCCCCATGGTCACATAATCAAAATTCAGGCTTTGCATTTGGTATGTATTTACAATGGCTCAGGGTCCTGTGATCTATTTATTTAATAGGGGAAACCAGATTTGTTGTATGAGCGTGTGATTCACTTCATAACTGCAGTGATTTACCTAACCGTGTCAAAAAAGATCATAAAATTGGGCCCAACTTGCTCAACAATCATCTTTCTTAGCAGCAGAAATTCTGGGTTCCAGTTGTGGTTGTTAGTTAAATACTATCCTGTAGCCTCTTTTCCCTGTGAACCTTTCCAGTTGGAAAATGTTCTATATTTCTTCATGATTTCGCCTTGGGAATTTAAGACTGGGAAGCCAGGGAGTCTACAGACCCAGGTGAGAGGAGTGTGCAATGAAAAGGATAAAATTTGCACACTTTGCCAATTATATGCATCTTCCCCCAATAATTTCACCAATATTTTCTCCTACTCGGATTAGGTTTAGTTCCTCTACATTCTTTATTCCTGACTTCAATGAAGGAGATTGTCCCAGAGCAAATGATGTTAGGTACAAAACACACTTACGCTCATGGCTGCTACATCATTCTCATATGCCTCCCTCACTTTCTTCATAATTTCTTGTTCTGCTTTGCAGCAATTCTCAATGGAGCCTTTCACAGTGATAGTCCTTTCAGGGTTGTATAATGTCAAATCCTGAAGGCTGAGTGGGAACATCAAAACAAAAAAAGTTTTGTTTTGTCAAAAAACCTTTGCCTGGCAAATCTTTCAGACTCCATTCCTGCATTCAGTTCAACCAGTTTATCAAAGAAAGCACCCCAAGAATTTCCTTTGTCATACAATTCTAGCAATATTCATTTAAAAATAGATAGCACTGTTACATACTCTGGCATTATTTTCCAAAGAAAGGAAAGGCATGGATCACAGGAACTCCTACGGCAATCTTTTTGACATATAATGGCTAAAGGCTGGGAGACAAAATTCCACAATTCGCTCCTCTGAATTTATTTATTTAGACAGTAAAGGAGCTTTCTCTGTTCCCATAATCCTACCCAATTCTGTTTCAGCCTTTTGCCTTCTATATCAATTGATAATGGATTCGGGGGCCAAATAATCCATTCAGAAATTTATTTGTACTTTAGCCCCTTATTTTTGCATAAGTAGAGGACTACTTGTAAAAACAAACCTGACAAATGGAGCTGATGGATGAATAGGATTGTATTAAAGGTGAAGGTTCCTCTTGCACATACATGCTAGTCGTTTCCGGCTCTAGGGGGCAGTGCTCATCTCTGTTAGAAAGCCAAAGAGCCAGCGCTGTCTTCGTGGTCATGTGGCCAGCATGACTAAATGCCAAAGGCGTACGGAACGCTGTTACCTTCCCACCAAAGTGGTCCCTATTTTTCTACTTGCATTTTTACATGCTAGGTTCGCAGAAGCTGGGACAAGTAACAGGATCTCACTCTGTTATGTGGGCACTAGGGATTTGAACCGCCGAACTGCCAATCTTTCTGATAGACAAACTCAGCGTCTTAGCCACTGAGCCATCGCGTCCATCTGGGATTGTATTATATGCACAAAAACACAGATTGTTTGTATACTTTCCATCAGAACAAGAAAGCCAATTGTTGCTGGAACTTTGCATTTTGATATGGCTCAAGGGCTAATCAATAAAGACTTATTAACAAGAAAGCTCAAAAGTTCATAACTGCATTAAAAGTAAAGGAGGGAAAAACAAAAAAAGACTTACGAGGAGATGGTGATCTTTGTCTCTGTGTCCTGTTCCACTTTCTTTAGGTTGCGGCCCTCCTTGCCAATCAATCGTCCCACAAAGTTGTTGTGGGCAAGGATTTTCAGAGGTACTTCATCAGCACTTGTGTATGAAAAATAAATTAAGTGAATTAAAACTCAGTGTCAATTTTTTTTTCCTGTGCGTGCAGAAGTCCCCCACTTCCATCACTTGCCATTCCAATAAAGAGTTAAAGATTATCTAAAACAGTGGAAAATCATGGCCAGGCAGTTGGTATCAATAAAAATGGATCAGATGGACCTACAGGAAGTTCTTATTTAGCAACTACCTTGTACAGCAACTGTTGCAATTACGACAGTGATGAAAAAGTAACTTTTCAACCAATGCCTGCATTTATGATCTTCACAAATCTACAAAATAAAGTTGAAGTAATATCATAAGCATAGTCATGGTTTTATTTAGTGACTATTTCACATAACAACCAAGTTGCTAGTCCCAACTATTGTTACAAAGTGAGGACCACCTGTGTCTCCTAAGAAACCTGTTTTGGCCTGCTACTTCCAATCTTATTCCTCAGTTTATTGCACTGATAACAATAGGACCTTCCAGCTTTTGCACGATCAGAACACAGCTGGACTGTCTTTGGAGCAGTTATTGCTTGATCACAAGAAAGAGTTATACAAGGCAAAAGGAATTTCCATTTCTCAAGGTGGCTTATCAATATACTCTCCTCACTCTATTTACATTTAAGTAAACTTTTGTATTATTCTTAATTTGCATAGTTTCTTCCGAGTTTCAAAGTTAGGGAACGAAAACTGCAAGATGTATGCATACAAGATGTATGTATCTTAAAGGAACCAATATATCTCCTGAGCTCCTTCTCATAGACAATATCCATGAAATCCAGCTCCAGCTGACTTGTGAAAGAAAAGAACCTGGTAGCAAGTAGTCAGAAGCAAAAACAAAGATTCTGGCTACAGAATCTTCTATTTTATTGGCCTTTAATTGGAAAAGATCTCATGCAATAATGCTAGAAAAAAAAATATCTGGGTACCCTTTCTAAAAAACCCTGCCGATCTTGGCACTAACAATGGCCTCTTACGTCTTAGTGTCTTTTGCCTCTTTCTGCATGATTTCCAAGATCATCTTGCAAGCAGCAGAACAGCCTTCTGGAGTTGAATGGATGCTTATTGCTTTCTCTGCTGCGCCCGCATTTTCCTTCCGATGCACATCAATTCTACGGTGAATTCAAAGAAAAGCAAGAAACCACTCAATTTGAACAGTGGTATACGTCCAAGGAATCAGAAACCGATTGAAAGGTCATAAAATGCCTCAAAACCTTGGATTCCTTATCTTTACAAAATATCTCAAATGCCTCATTTGTCATTTATTCCCAATTTGGATGCATGTGTATTTTAATTTTATTCACTTCCTCTAGATCAGTGGCCCCCAACCTTTTTTGTGCCACGGCCCGGTACCGGCATCACAAAATGATCCGCGGCCCGGTACCGGCATCAGCACGCATGGCAAGGCGAGCCGAGCGACCGGCCAGCCAGCCGTCCCCTGCTTCTCCCCGCCACCTTCAACTCCTCCTTTGTACCTTTGTCGATGGGCTTCGGGACGGCTTCGGGACGGTCGCTCAGCTCGCCTTGCCTTGGGTGCTGAAAGAATCCTTGCGCCTTAGTTTTGTTCGAAGCCGCCCCCCCCTTTGATGAAACTAAGGCGCGAGGATTCCTTCAGGACCCAAACGCCGCTTTCCAACCGGAAAAGCTCACCGGAAGCACTTCCTCATCAAAACAAGATGGCGGCGCCCAGCAAACCGGCGGCCCGGTAGAAAATGTTCCACAGACCAGTACCAGTCCGCGGCCCGGTGGTTGGGGACCCCTGCTCTAGATAGCCCAATAGATACCACTGAGTAATCTACAAATTAATGAAAGCACATTAGTAGAAATGTAAAAAGCTATACGACAAAAGTAAAAAACAGCAATCACAGTTATTATAACAATAGTAAAATAACATGAAAATCAAAGTAATAGAATTTGAAAATGCCCAATATAAATTTATTTGCTAGAAGAACATACACTAGATGGATGAAACTCATAAAGTCTCTGTTACAGTGAGACTTCTTTGGCATAGTCCAATCTTTGGGTGCAATGCTGAACAATATGAAGAACACTGAGGCTTATAAGTGCCAGTTTAGCAGCATAGCTATGGCAACATTGTAAGCTCCCCCTCCAAATTATCTATACTTTAACATATCATCCAAATACTATACTATGAACAACTGCCTTTAAAAAAAGAAGCCAATTTTATAATTTATGGTTTTAAAGTATCTTAATTTTAAAGAACCAAAATAAAGATTAATCACAATAAGCTGCACTGATCTGAATTATCTTGAATTCTGTTTTAACCTACATATCCACTATGAAGCAAACTTCAGCAACAGAAATGCTGAAACTTGAATAACTCCCAATTCATTCTCATAGGAAAGACAGTAAAGAACAAAACAAAACTTTAAAGCAGAATAAAACACCTTTCCATGTAATGCCCTATAGATCTACTGGAACTCCAAACTATAAAACTATAGTTGGAGGACACAGACAGAGTAATACTGGGTTATGACTCTGTAATACTTGCTTCAAATTTTTGTTGAATAGGCTCACTATACACCCCAGCAATATTATAGGGTTAGTGTGGAAATACTATAAAAAAGGGGAGTGACAGCAATAACATTCCTTGAATGAAGAGCAGGGAAAATACAAATTTTTTATGTTCAAAGATAATGTCCAAGACTCATATTCTTGTATCGGGATGTTGAAGATGCATTTGTTTTCTGTTTGTTTCCTAGCCACTTTTCTGTAATTTTAATTAGTGTTTTGCATTAGCTCTAATGCACTGATCCAGGAGTCCCCAATCTCTGGTCCATGGACAGGCATCGGGCCGCAGCAAGCCAGAAACCAGACTGTGCAAATGGAAGCCCAACTGCGGGATGGGATGCAGGCAGCATGCAAAAACTTCCGGTCCATGAAAAAAACCTCTTTCTACAGAACCAGTCCCTAGTATTCAAAAGGTTGGGGGCCACTGTACTAAAATGCATACTCAGAAAAGGCAGAGAGTGATGGCTGACAGACTAGATCGGAGGTCACCAAACGGTGGTCCGCAGCGCATCCGGGTGGAGGAGCTGCTCCGGGATGACCAATGGGCCAGTTCTGTGATTAGAGCTCTGGAATATGGGACCAGGTGGCTCGTGGTGGGGCTAGAAATCTCTGCCATAGAGGGAAGTAGGTGCAACTTGCAACTTGCAACTTTGCAGGTGATGAACGTGCAAGGAGTAGCACAGCCCTTGCCAGCCGAAACAAGGTAATGGTACTCTTGAGGCGGGGGAGATGGCGGCACAGGTGGGCTAAAGCAACGGATGTTGGCAACCCACGGCTCTTTTGTCCTCCTGCTGTGGCTTCGTGTCAAATAATCCCACCACTGGCTGTCCCTGCCCCTCGCCCTCCCCTCTGAGTCATTCCTCGCCTGTTCTGAGAAGCGAAGGGAAGGGGAAGGGCTCTATATTTCAGAGTGGGAGCGAAGTTTCATTTCTTGCTGGGTCTCGCGGGCATTTCTTCCAGACCTTGTTGGAGCTGGGTGATTGGGAGACACGTGACTTCGCCTCAGCCCCGAGATATTGGCCCAACCTGGCTGTTTCTTTCCACCGTTGCTGTTGGTGCCTCCATGGCCTGCCCGCTCCTCTTGCAGCACAGTTAAATTTAGCATACTTCACAATGGGGGAGAAAGCATCCCCTCCTCCTCCTGGAATCCATTATGATGCGGAACATCAGCTGCAACCAGCTTGGGCAAGTGTCTCAAGGTGGAGAGCAGGTCGTGTGTCCGAGTGACCAAAGTGCATCTAGCTCCAACACAGGCCGAAAAAGCACCCGCGTGACCCAGAGAGCACCGGAGAATCGGAATGAGAGACAGAGATGAGAGAAAGAGAAAGATACAGACAGAGAGACGGAGAAATAGAAAGATAGAGAGACAGAGAAATGAGAGAGAGAGACAGAAAAAGAGGGAGGAGAGAGATGAAAGAGATTAGAGATACAGAGAGAGAGAGAAAGATGAGAGAGAGATACAGAGGGATGAGAGAGAGATAAATGAGAAAGATTAGAGATAGAGAGAAATGAGAGACACAGAGATGAGAGAAAGACAGAGATACAGACAGAGAGTCAGAGAAAGAGAGAGAGAGAGGGAGAGAGAGAGATGAGAGTGCTAAAATTAGACAGCTAAAATGCTTGCTAACAAAATAACGTCTTACTTGGACTGTGTCTGTTTGGTTATGTTCCGGATGGTGGCACCTTCTTTACCAATAATGGCTCCAACATATTGGGTAGGAACAAGAAGCCGAAGAGGAATATCTACTGGTTGTTGTTTCACTGGAGCCCCTGAAGCCACAGGGGAACCTTGCCGTGGGGCACCCCGTGTTCCAAAGCCACCTCGACGTCCATTCTCTGCACCCTGGACAATCTGTTCATCAGGTATGTAAGAGACCTTCAATGCGTGGTTTTCCAGTTGATGTCCATTAAGTTTCATGATAGCTCTGGAGAAGAAAAAGAGAGAGATAAAATGGATGAGGAACTAATCTGTGAGAGGGCAGGTTATGCTAGCTAGAGGGGGATTTTAAAGGGGCAAGGCACTGCTTGATGTATCGGTGGATTATGCGAGCAGATCCAGTAAGGTGGCCTTCTGCAACTGACCAATGGTGATCTTGTCAGCGCCAATTGTTTTTAAGTTTAGCACAGCACCCAGTGTGCCGAGTACCACTGGAACCACCTGCACTGGTTTATGCCAGAGTCTCTGCAGTTCAATTCTCAAGTCCTGATATCTGGTTATTTTTTCCAAGTTATCTGAGCAAGTTATCTGTGTTGTGACATTGTTTGTAGTCAGTCTGAGTGATTGTCTTGCAACAGCTCAGTATGTCCGCTTCTTTGCAGAGTCTGAATTTGGGGTCCTCAGCAGATTTTTCTATTCTGGCTTTGATTGCATTCGTTCTGATGGCTTGTTCTTGGGCTGCAAGAATCAGGCCTTCTGTCTCTTTCTTCAGTGTTCTGTTGGTCAGCCATAATCAGGTCTTTTCCTTATCTACTTTTCCTTGGATCTTTTCAAGGAACTGTCCATGCAGTGCTTTGTTACACCAGCTGTCAGCCCAAGTTTGCATTGCTGTTTTCCTGTATTGATTCTTGGTTTGCTGCACTTTGAAGCAGCTTCCTATTGTTCACCTCCATCAAAGCTGGTTCAACACTGTCTTTCACATAATCTGCCAGAGCATGCTTCTCTTCTTCGACTGTCTGCTTCACTTGCAAAAGTCCTCTGCCGCCTGCCAACATCACTACGCAGGTGCAGAGCATAGTGTATGGCAAGCCCTATCATCATCATCATCATCATCATCATCATCATCATCATCATCATCATTATTTTAATTAAACATAAAACTCAATCAACTGAACAATTAAAAATGTAACACAAATATTATTGACTGATGGTTGATACGGTTGCCAGCATCCTAGATATTGACCAAGTCTATTATTATTATTATTATTATTATTATTATTATTATTATTATTATTATTATTATTATTATTAGTATTAGTATTATTAGTATTATTAGTATTAGTATTATTATTATTATTAATTAGTATTATTAGTATTAGTATTATTAGTATTAGTATTATTAGTATTATTAGTATTATTATTAGTATTATTATTATTATTTTCATTATTATTATTATTATTTTCATTATTTTCATTATTTTCATTGCACAATCACTCAGATGCTTAGGCTGCATTGGGCATTTTTAATCCATCCATTGAGTCTTCTCCACGAATCTGGGATAGGATGTTGCTTGATGATGATATTGTCACAAGATATAAGCTGCACAAGATATAAAGCTGCCTTTTGCAATTGATTCATCGCATTTTTGTCAATGCCAATTGGTGTTCAAGTGGTGCTTTAGATGTTTTGGAATTGCACCCAGGCATCTATGACTACTGGCATTATCTTTGCTTTCTTTTGCCAGTCATATTATTTCTAGTTGCAGATCCTGGGTATTTTGTGATTTTCTCCAATTCTTTCTTTTCTATTGTGCAGATCCACATATTACATATTATTATTATTTCTATGTCATCTATGTCTGGTTGATTAAATGACTTCTATATAACATCATTTTTAAGGTTTTTTTCACACTTTCTGTGAATTATACTCTTAATAGGTCACATTCAGTGGTAGTATGCTATTGGTTCAGCCTGGTTCAGCCAAGCCGGTAGCAGCAATGAGCAGTGGAGACCAAACCGGTTCTCTCTGCCACTCTGTTTGTTGTTGGGCCCACCCACCAACCCGGGCTCCCATACTCACCTTTATCTTCTGTTTTTGAAGTGTAACTGCTTTGTGCACAGAAGAATGCTACGGGGCAGCTGCTGAAGCGACCGGGAGAGTGCAGGCTTGCAGGAGGTGAGTTGGAACGCCTCTGCGCTTGCGCAAATGCCTCTGCGCCTGCACAAAGTGTGTCTTTGACGCATGCGTCCCCAGTACAAAGCATGCCCACCAAGCCATGCCTACCGAACCAGTGATAAAAGTTTTTGAATCACACCACTGGTCACATTCTTTTAAATGTATATGACTAATGCATTTGGAAAACCCTAAAATCGTGTAGCGGACCAAAGGCAACAAAATACCCTTTTCCAGATGGACCTAAATTAGGCAGGCATATTCTGGAAACCCTTTTCTCTGCCATGTCCACAAATCATTACCTTCATCTTGAATCCAGATCTAACTGAGACAGCCAGACCGTCCTTAGCTGTTTTGATGTTATATGATATATTCCGCCTTAAGTGGACATCACAGCCAATCTTACCCTGACTATAACTGACATGTTTTACCAGTACTCATAGTCTGGACACCTAGGAGATGGATCAGCGCAACATTTATTCACCACTTTATACTGGTACAGATATGCTCCATATTCTTTGTGACTCTAGTCATTTTGGTTCGGATAGGGTGAGTGTATGACTTTCTGAAAGATTGTTTTAAAAATCCCTTTGAAATATTCCTTCTGAGTTCCTCCATTAACTTGCTAGGTCTATGCGAATCTCCAAATAGACATAAACCAACAGGGTTGGTAGGAGAGAGGCTGTGTGTATGACATTAGAGAGAAAAGAGAAGCTGTCTTGTCTTCTGCTATTTTGTGCCATATCCCTCATCAGGACCCATTTCTTGTTATTCAAATAAAATAGACTTTCAAAAACAAATGTGCTCAAAAGGAAACTTATTGGAGAGGAAGTGACGTCATGGCAACTCCAGCAAGAGGAGAGCAGAGCTCTCTGTTCCCTGCACTGGCTTCTGCATGTTCGTGGGCTCCGAAAACCACTCTGGAGGAATAGTGAAGCAAGGAAGAGGTGCCTGGTGAGGTTTCAGGGGAGAACACAACTCCCCTATAGACTCCCGAGGCTTTTGCTCTTCAAGCCACGTCGTGAAGAAGAATGGTTAAAATGGCCATCACACAGCCAGAGACAACTTCAACCTAAGAAGAATGCAGGAGTGGACATAGTGACACTGTGGAACTGGGCGAGAAGAATTCTTTTATTTAATCATAACCCTGAAAAAGAAGATTCAAAAAAGGGCTTAGGACTATCTTTAAGTTGGCAGCGATTGTTAATGTGAGAAAAATACAGGGAAAGAACTTGGGAAAAATAAAACAAAGACTTAATCTTTAAAACTGAAATGGAAAGGAAATAACTTAAAGGAAAAACTTTTATAAAAAAGAATCTACAAAATTGGAATTGGTGATTGCACAGGATTGGCGGTGGATAGGCATTACTTAAAATGCTGTAATTGATGTGGAAAAAGAATATAATAACTAACAATTGAAAATATTGATAAACTTGATGAAAGATTAAATAAAAATGGTGGAAAGTGGAAACTGACACAAGAGTACCACCTCCTGTTAAAAGGAAAATTCTGTAGATCCCAACAACCTGATTTATTTAAAGTCGAAATTAAAGGAAAATAAAATGAACTGTATTGTTAAAAGACCCCAGAAAATTGGAATATTGAATTAAAATCAGTGGAGAAATATATGAAGATTTCTCCTGGGATTTGGACATGTGGAAAGAAATAGATTGATGGACTCTGGGATACAAAGACTGGTGGATATTGGACTGACAGATAGGGGGAAATTGTTGGTTTAAATAAAGACGATGGATAATTGGATATTTGAATATAAAAATAAAACAAGCAATAAAAACGAATGAAATATGTAGAGAAATAGAGCTGGAATTAAACACTATGAACAAAAGCATTAATGACTTACTGAGTAAAATACAGAATATGGAAGAAAACTCAAAAATGGCAACGCAAACCACAGAAGACAAGCAAGAAGTACAAGCAGAGGAGGAGCTGAACGGATGAGAAACCAGCAAGGCAGAGCAGATGGAACAACAAACAAAGTGAAAGGGAAAAATGAAAATAAAACTTAAAATGTTAATGATTGAGGTTGTTAGAAATGATAGTCACCTAACAGTTGGGTTGGCAATATATAAACCAGGATAGTCATTTAATACTGTTGTAACTTTAAGAGAATGTTGTAACTGTGATTGGCTGAGGTTCCTCCAATGGCCATAAGATGGAGCCAGAAACCTGGTTTGGATTTTTTTTTTCATTTCCTTTGCTTTCCTTTTGCCTTTTGCCTTGCCTTTTGCCTTTTGCCTGATCTGGTTGTGTGCTATTCATCACAACTCTCACTATGTTTCCCTTAGTACACTCATTCTTCTAACGGGGAATACCTCAACACTGGTTATGGGCCCAGACTCAGATAACTGAGAGTTAGTGTGAATACCGTATACAGACAGCTGTCTATTGTTTAATGGTGGGTTACTGTCCTGGTAAAGATGGCACAAGACACTTCAACAAGTCTATCACCGATAACCCGGTTGGATGGAACAAACTATGTTTCCTGGTCTATGAAGTGCAGTCTACTTCTGCGTAGGGAAGGGTTATGGAATGTAGTTCAAGATCCACCGGATGTAAATGCTTGGGATCCAGATGATGATGATGATGCCAAAAAATTAGCTGACTTTAAATGGAACAACAAACGAGCTCTTTGTATAATTGGACTAACACTGAGTGACCAGCAGCTAGTCCATATTCGTGGAGAAGAGTCTGCTGCTAGGTATTGGGAGAATTTGAAGAGGATTTATGTTCATGACAGTGTATGTGCACACATACATCTTACACGTAAACTGCTTAGAGCACGTCTTCTGAAAGGTGGAGATATGTTAGCTTATTTGAACTTTATGAAAAGAACTTTTCAAGAGCTACATGAAAAGGAGCTGATTTTTTCAGAGCTGCATCAGGTTTACATCATTCTTTCCTCATTAGATGAAAGTTATGATTATGTATCTTCACTGGAAGTTCTGACCAGAAATGAACTGACATTGACTGACATAACCGGATGATTTGTTAGAAGAGACAAGAAGAAGGCAGGATAGAGACCAACTGAGAGAGAAACAACCACAAGAAGAGGATTTGTTTTCAACTGCCTATAC